TGTTCATCTCTAATCCACTCCTTTATTTGAATTCATCTCTTGGTTGACTGGAATTTGCTATTCAACAATTTTTTTTGTCATTTTTAAAGGAGTCCAAGAGTGCCATATTTCCTAAATTCTTGTACTCCTGAGATTATGACTGCTGCCTTTACACCGAAAGGATTGCTAGGCCACATAGGAGATCCTTGGGGCATACTTACTTTCCTTTAGATCTTTGTAAATAATGTTCTATGATCTTCAGACAATGAATATTCCTGCGAAAAATATCCTGCCTGATATTTTTCTCTTTATATATTATTTGCTTTTGAGTGTATCAAAATTAATTTTATTTTGTCCGTAAGATGTAGTGACTTTTTTAGCTTATGTCTTGGTGTTGATCATTATAATAGTTTTCCTGGGGTCCTGAATGCCTTACTGATACTCTGACACAGAGCTTTAGATTATTAAATTTCCCATTAAATACAGATCATTTAACATTGTCTTTAATCCGTTTGTTCTGTTCTCTTTATCAGGAATGCTAATTATGCCAAATTTTGCATTCTTTCTCTTCCATAGGTATCTTCTTTACAATAATTTTTAATTATTCTCTTTCTATTTTGTTTCTTCAAATTTATCCACCATGCCTTCAGTCATTTAACAAACATTTATCAGAGTGTTCGGCACAATTCTCAGTGCTGGAAATAGAGTAGCAAATAAAAGGGACAAACATTCAGCCTTCCCAAATTCACATAGCAAAGAGAACAGACATTACCAGAGGCTAAGGGGAAGGAAGAAAGGGAATTACTGTTTAATGGGTACAAAGTTTATGTTGGGGATGAAAAAATTGGGGGAAACGGATAGTTGTTGTGGGAACACAGCACTGTGAATGTATTTAATGACCCTGAAATATACACTTAGAAAATGGTTAAAAAGACAAATATTATTGTCATCTATATTTTACCACAAAATAAATCAATAACTTTTTTTAAAAAAAAAAAAAAGGGTTTGGGAAGAAGAATAAGCTACAGCTGGTAGGAGACACTGAACTATGAATTTAGTAGGAACTGAAACCAAAAGGTTTGGGAGGGAAAGAGCAAACCCAAAAAACAACAAAATGAGAGTTCATATTGCTTAGGTTCTAATGGAATATAATAAATATCCTAATGGAATATAAGATCCTTGGCTTCATTATTTGTTTATTTTGATTTCTTTTTGTAAGATTTTTTACCTCATTTTCCTGACCTCATGTAATTCACTTTTCTTTTCTTTTTTCTGTCTTTTCTCCTTTAAGCATTCTCTTTTTTCCTGCCTTTAACAAAGATTCTAATATCTTTAATTTCCTTCAAACTATGGAATATGGTTTTAAGTTTTCTTGGGTTTTATTTGAGCAATTCATCTGGTGATGTTTATTCTTGACCCTCTTTTATCTCTTCTATCAGTCTGTTTATTCTGAATGCTATACAAATAAATTCTTTCTTCCCATGGCTTTTGTGACATCCCTCTGCCAGCTTTCCTGCCATATCCTGACTAGCTCCTTCTTGGCTTTCTCTCTCAGTCTCCTCCTGTGTTCTTTCCCTAAAAAGCTGTTATTCCCCTACCAATTTACCCTTGGCTAGGTCTACACTGTATACCTTCCTGACGAATTTACCACTTACACACTGATAACAAATTGCTTGTTTTCTTTTTTAAGTTATTTATTTAAATTCAAGTAAGTTTCAGAAGTAGAACCCAGTGATTCATCATCTACATATAACAGTCAGTGCTCATCCCAACAAATGCCCTCCTTATACCCATCACCCATTTAGCCCATCTTCCCCAGTCACTTCCCCTCCAGCAACCCTCAGTTTTTTCTCTGTATTTAATAAGAATCTCTCGTGGTTTGCCTCCCTCTGTGTTTTTATCTTATTTTTCCTTCCCTTCCCCTATGTTATCTATTGTGTTTCTCAAATTCCACATGTGAGTGAAATCACTATCTGTCTTTCTCTGACTAACTTTGCTTAGCAGCATACACTCTAGTTTCATCCTAGATCACATCACTTCACAAATCACTTGGGGTTTTTTGTTTGTCTGTCTGTTTACAAATCACTTGTTCTTAATCACCATTGTCTCCAGTGCCTGCATCAGTGCCAAATCTATAGTAAAAGCTCAATAAAAATGAGTTCAGAGAATAACTCCCAAGTCTGCACTTCCATCCTGGATCTTGTTCCTGTGCTCTACTTATTACCATATATATCTCCAGATGGTCTAAATGACAAACTCAGCACATCTAAATCTTAACTCACAGGCCCTCCCATATCATCGAACTCAAAAATAACATGAAATAAACAAACAATATATTCTTCCTCTAGTAGCTTCCATCTGGGAGAATTATGTTACCGTCTGTCAAATGATCAAGCCAAAAGACCAAATACCACCCATGACCCATGTCTCCTCCCACTCACTTCTATTTCTTTTTGTCTTTTGTTTTCTTTTTTTGTTCTGTGTGAGTACATAGAGGTCTCATATTTGAGTCTAAAGTCAGGAAGTGGTCATGAATTCTAACCTGCCCTATAAATATTAAGGAATTCTCTAGCTCAATGGTTCTTAACTGGAAGTAGTACCCCACAAAACCTCACGGAGGAAATTTGGGAATGTGCCAGGGCTTTTGGAAGTCACAATGAATTGGGCACTATAGATATTTCATGTGAAGGAACCAGGAAGGCTAAATGTTGAGCATTTTATCAGAAGTCCCAAATAAAAACTGTGCAGCCCAAATTGCCAAAAATGCCCAATTACCATAGAATCACTGCACTTGGCTATTTCTTTAAGCCACAAGGTGGCAATAAACCCCAAGAAAGTCCTGAAAGATCACTTTTCTGGCTAAATAGAAACATGTAGTTTCTAAACGTCCATGCAGGAAAACAAAGGTTTTTGATTAAAAATGCTGAAAAACACTTTCTAATAAAACTTTGTACTCCAACTTCCATTTGTAATGGAAATTACAGATGATTCTTTCCAAATAGTTACCAAAGAGGCACAAAAATTTCTATACTTCTGCTGGAAACTTCATTCTGCTAAAAAGACAAACTGATAAATTCTTTATTTTTCATTTTTTAGAAAGCCAAGTAAACAATGGGAATCACATGCTATATAATGTGTGTCCCCTAAGGACACAGAGCCAAAAAGAACTGGTGCCAAGTCTGAAAAAAAAGTGGTTGAACATCAAACTAGTGGCTTTTTTAAAAAAATTAATCACAAGCAGTGACCAATGAAGTAGTAAGTCTCCTTTTCTTGAGTAGCTTATAAATTAGCTCCTAAAACAATTCTAAAATGTTCTAAAGAAGGAAAATAAATAAGAAATCCTGATATTCCCATCAGCACATGTGAAAATAGACAATAATCTGAGACTAAGTTCTGGTATGCTTATTTAAGAAAAACCAATTACTTGATGGTCATACCTTTAAAAGCATGTTTCTTTCAAATAGCTTACAGTATAGTTTTCTTCCACAAAATACACTTAAATATTAAAGTACTTAAGTATAAATAAGTTAGATTCTACTTCCTAGCAAAAGCAATGCAGAAGTGTATAAATTAAGATAATCTGACCTCTAAAAGCAAACTGCCTGGTTTGAATCTTCTTATATATGCGACTTTAGACAAGTTATATAACCTCTCTGTGCCTTGGGTTTCCTCATGTGTAAATGAGAGTAACATAATACCTACCTCATGGAACCATTCTGAGAATTTAAAGAGATGACATATATGAAGGACATAGCCTGGCACATTAGAAACATTTAATAAATGTTAGTAGTACTCCTGGCTGTTACCATTACTATTATTCATACTTGTTTTTTATTTTGAAAAATTAATGCTATTACAGGGATTGCTTAGGTCAGAACTGAAGACAGTATTATTAGAATTTAAGTCCAGCAACCTCATCTTATATCATAGTATCTTGGAGACTAATGACCTTTAGAGACATAATCCTAAGCAAGTAAATCTCACTAGGTGTCATGCCTTTGCAGGCTCCAGATCTATAAATTTAAGCTGCTCTCCAACTAGCAATCCTATTTTACTGCTTTCTAATTTCTTAAAAAAGTTTGTGCAGGTCCTTGCAGGTCCTATCTGGCACAACGTCTACAGCTCTTACAAGTTTAACACCCTCTCAGGGCACACTCACACCACAGTGCTGCAGAAGCACTGAATATGTATTCTAATTCTCTGCAGAGTATAGACACTGGAACAGTGGCCTTGGTGGTCATCACTGAAACACTCAAAGATAGGATATTGCTAATAATATGTAAGTTATTTCCTACATAAGATAGCCAAAAGAAAAAATATCTAAGAATTTAAGTGAGTTTTTCCAATGACTTGAGTGTGGTGGAGAAAATGGTGCTTACCCCTATCAGGTTCTCCTTACCTTCCAGGGTATATGGGCAGTATGGGAAAATTCTATGCCCCAGACCTTTACATTAGGCAGGACCATATGCCTCATTTCCCCATTTTAGCCTACAGAATAGAAGTTGAAGTGAGACTGTCATTTCTGGGCTGAGAGGTGCAGAGATGGTGTGCCAGATCCATGTTCTCTCTTCCCTGAAAAACATTATCTTAGGAGATAGTGGCCTCATAAGATAGAGGGAACCTAAATCCTGAGTCCTAGGATAATGGCCCATGCTGGCTCAGCATGAGGGGGAAAGAAACTTTCACTGTGCTATACCACTGAGATTCTAGAATTTCAAATTGCAGCACAGCCTAGACTAGCTTGACAAATACCGAGGAACTTCATCTTCCTCTCTGTACCCTATGACCAAGTGACAATGGAGGTAAAGGAGGTGGGAGAAAACACATACCAGTGAGCATAAGCAACGGAAGAGGAGTTAGAAAATGCTAACAATGTTTAGAAATGGAGAGGTAAAAGTAGAAACACAATAAAACACTAAATCTATTTTTCACACAGAGTCCTAGATACCTGATTTGGCACCTTTGTTCTGGCCATGGAACATCTCTGCATATGACAAAAATATTCAAAGAACAATTTTTACCTGCGTAACTGAGCATTTTCACTTCTTAGCGGTTGCATGGCCAGTGCCATTTCAACTTGAATGTTTGCATTTCCACTTATTGCTGGAAGCAGAGATATACACATCTCCAATTCTGTAATCAATCTCTGAATTTCTGAATCCTCTATGTACAGGTGAAGAAATGAGTAAAAGCAATACCATTAATTGTTTTTAGATAAGATTACTTATGTATATTACTAAAAAAGAAAATTTCTCAGATATGTACATACTTGCTATAAACAAACAACTCAATTACTTATAAATTTGATATATATATCTTATTTTCCTCTTTTTTCCTGCCTGCATTTGTTTACTCAAAAGAATTCTAAAGAAATTCAGTAAACTAAAGATTAATCTTCAATCACAGGATTATTACTGTGTTTGTTTTTTTCAGTTAAAGAGTCTAGTAGGAAGATAATTATGTCTCCCAGTTCATATTCCCAAAGGACTAATGGATTCCTTTTATTTTTATTTAAAAAAATTTTTATTAATGTTTTATTTCTGAGAGAGAGAGACAGTGTGAGAAGGGGAGGGTCAGAGAGAGAGGGAGACACAGAATCTGAAACAGGCTCCAGGCTCTGAGCTAACTGTCAGCATGGAGCCCGACGCGGTGCTTGAACCCACGAACCATGAGATCATGATCTGAGCCGAAGTCGGATGCTTAACCGACTGAGCCACCCAGGCGCCCCACTAATGGATTCCTATCATTGCTGAAGGGTTTCCTAGAATTGAGTAAAGTATTAACATTTACAACACAACCTTTGATCCTGACATAAAGAAAGAATTCTCTTTAGGTGATTCAATCTGGCAAAATATTGAGGGAGGATCTACTCTGATAAGGTTTTAGTATTTAATTTTATAAAGCAGATGTAAAACAACCAGTTATGCCTCATTTGGTGTCACATCAAAAGCAATACCGTTTTTGCTATTAATTGTGGGGAGTGGATGATTTTGGAGGTGCGAAACAGACACAGGTAGGTGGATTTTAGATCTTTTGTCCTTTTGTATTTACCCCTTCATTTCCATTCAAATTTTCTGTGGACTGAAAACATTTAATAATTATACTAACTCTCTTATATCCCAAAGAGGTAGAAAGTATATTTTAAGTTACAAACTGTTACTCAGTCCCACAGGTATTTTAGCCCCCTGATGTAAAATACATGTACCTAGTAAACATCTGTGACCAATTACTGAGAAGTTCCCTACCAATCCTTCGTAGAGTGGTTTTGCTCATAAGCATTGGAGGCAGAGACCTGAGCTCCGCCATTTTCTAGCAACAGAGCTTTAGTCAAACTTCCTAACTTAGAAGCTTAGATTTCTTCTCCATTGTTAACTGGAGATAACAATACCTCACAGGATTGCTGTGAGGATTAAATGAGATAATGCATATAAAACAGCACAGTGCCAGCCACATGTAAGTATCCAATAAATGATACCTAACATTATCTTATTATTATTGTTACCATGATTAAGTATTTGGTCAAGAGAATAGTAATAAATTGAAGGTCTGAAAACACAGAGATTTTAATATACTGAACGGATTAATAGTGCTATGTTCTTCCTATAACACATTTTAAGATTTAGAATTTCTTTTTCTCTGCAAATATTAGGTATTCAGTCAGTGCTTCCACAATCAATCACTGTGTTTTCTAAGATGACAAAACTGTAACTAACTCCAAATGAAAGCCATTATTTAGCATATACACACAGAAAACAAATACAACTTGGCTCAAATATCTCATAATTCCATCTGAGACATTTGTTTTGATGTAATTAAAAAACCCACAAGTAAACCAAAAAGGGCAAAAAAGGTTTGGATTACTCCTCCAAGTCAGATTTGTTAAACCTTGCAACAGTTGGTTATTAAAGAAATGATGGGAAGAAAATCTCTGCATCTTTTTAAAATAGGAAAAATTACCAGTCTGTGCTAGAGAGTGAATCATCGTTAGGCATCTTCTAACCCCTAAAACTTTATGGCTGTAAATTCTCTTTGGCTGAATCTTCCAAGGTCCTTCAGAATCAAGTAGAATGAATACATGCTTGCAAGTAAAAGACTGTTTTGATTCTCTCTTGTACATTTCAAATCCACAGGAAACATAAGAGATCAAAATCTAAACAATAACATAGGCAGAACTCACTTTCTTATCAGCTCAAGACATATTCCTATGGAAAATACCACAAACTCCATGTCAATTTTTCTAAATTTAAATGATAACTAAATAATAAGATACTGCTATTTAGCATTAACACCACAGAAATTCATTTTAAAGGTGCTCATGTACCTTGCTCTGCTACCAGGGCCTTGAGCTCTCCCAACAAATACTTCACGGTTCTGGCTTTTTCGGCACTCTGGTTCACATTTTTTGCCTTCTGTACATCCTTTATTCTTGAATCTCGCACATGTATGTTTAAATCCTTTCCTTCACTTGGGACTTCTCCAATGTGTTCATTGCCACATCTCTCTTCATTACTGGACAGGAAAGCTGGTGGTAACAGAGTGGGACTGTCTGGATGAGAATGCAATAGATTCATATATGTTTGAAAACACTTTACTAAGTCTGGCTCCTTAGGAACTTCGTGTTGTGGCAGAACCCCATTAACGAGACCCGGCTGCTGGAGGCGTGCAATAGCTGGTCTGTCACTTTTGGGCAGGTTGCGTGGAACTCCAAGACCAGTATGGAGGGAATTCCGTAGAACATCAGCACAGTTCATAGAAACAGTTTTACCTTGCGATGCAAACTGGTTGTCACCATCAGTCTGAACTTCCTAAAGATAAGAAAACAAGGTAAGTCTTCAAAAATGTGAGCAATGACTTGTAGGAATTAACTATAATGAACTCAAACTAGAAATATTAGAAAATGAATTTTGTAGGATGGAGTTATAGATTACCAGTGAGGAAGCCAGATTTCCCCTCTCCACAATATTCTCTTTTTTTCAAGCTTATTAATTAGTTTGCTCTGCAATATGGGAACATTATAAATCCATGACAAAATAAAGTGTTTACAAATATCACACATGGTTGAAAGGCATAAAAAATCAGTCCACCTTGGGACTAAAACAAACTCCCACATTAGGAAATTGCATTGCAAGAAAATAAGCTCAAACATGCAAAAAGCTTTTGCACAAACATGTTCACAGAAATGTTATGGTAGTACAAAGTGACTACTATAATGTCTACCCATAGGGAAGTAATTACATAGACCACAGTATATCCACTAACCATTCACTTATTAAAAATTCACAAAAGGTATATATTAATAGAGAAACACATTCACAATAAAATGCTAAATAAAAAAATAGTATATAAAACTGCATATTTCATTATGAACATATTCCTAAAAGAAAGTAAACTTAAATAAAAACCAGAAAAAAAACCCAGAGAATTAAATAATTAGAAAGTGCTCCGTCAATATGTTAACAACAATTGTGCTTAAGTGGTATGTATGAGTGATTTCTGTTTTCTACTGATCTTTCTCCCTCCCCCCCCACATTCTCCATAATGAATAGGTAAAACATTTCTAGTAAAAAATAATTTGAAAAGATAATTAGTATTTACATCCTAGGACATTACAATGCAATCAGTAAATTCAAATTTCTCTCTTAAGGTGACAGTTTGTGAAAGCAAATAATTATTTGTAGAATATATAAAATGTACCCACAGAATGAACCATTGGAAGGCAGGATGGATACTGAAGTAACTGGACTGGGGTGGAGGTCGATAAGCCATAACTAGAATACGGAGTTCCCTGAGACTCTAAAAGGTAAGAGGGAAAAAGTTACCACATCTCATACTGCTTTTACAAAAAGCAGGCAACTTAGAGTTTATATTCATGCTTTTTAAAACATCATTCATACTAACCAGAACCAGACATGGTATGGCAACGTACAGCAGGAATTCCCTCAGGGTTGTTCTTTGAAGCCGAGTTATTCATCACTGACATCTGAGTCTGCACATGCTCACAGAGGGCTTGGTATATTATCGGTGAATACATTCTATAATGATCCCGAAATGACCAATTCTGTGGTATATTTGATGAGTCTCTCTCACTTCCAGTAGAAGTTTCATTAGATATACATTTCTTATTATCTGAAGATACTAATGTGGAAGAAGGAAAATATTCTTGAAACAGGATTCCTCAAAAACTTTTACCATAAAATATGAGGGAAGAAAAAGATTTTCAGAAATAGCTCAATTCACCATATACTTTACAGAAGGGCTTTACCGCTATCACCCCCTAAAGAAAATCACCTCAAATTCTCTTTTAAAAGTAGTTAACAAATTTTGTGAGCTCTCCAGTCAAAAATTATCTATACTACGTTTTTAAAGTCTCTATTAAATAGTACTTGTGAAATCTCTCCTTCAATTATAAGACCCCTCTTTAAGGGTGTTATTTCTAAAATCCTATAAAACTCTTTCACCTTGTTTCTTATCCAGTTCATGCTCTCCGGGGAATACGGAATAGGAGAGACACAATAGTCTATAACAATTTTAATGGTTGGACCATTTAAAAAAAATCAGAGCCCTGAGATCAAGAATAAAAGTGTGCTTAATCTAGACAATGGGCCCTCAAAGAAAATATTAAGCTGGCATTTAAAGTTTCCAAAGCCTGACAACAACCAACTTTTCCCACCATCCTCCCAATAACCCCAACTCAAATTTCTCATTCCAGTCAGGCCAATTTACACACTCAAAAAGCTTCTCTCACCTTCCTATAACATTACTTGCGATGAACAATTCTTCCAATTCAATTCTACCCACGCACCAAGGCTCATCTGAAGGCTTCCCTCTTCCATGAAGCCTTTTCCAATCATTCTACTCCAATGACTGCTCTTCACCTTCCCAGAGCACATAGTGTCTATTATGAATTATATGTCACTTGCACATTGCACTATATTGCTTACCTTCCATTCTCTCATCTATCTGACTAAACTATAAGCTTCTTTAGGCAGGGCTGTATTTTATGTTTTATTATTTGCCCCCATAGAGTCTCATTATTAGTCTACCTACTATGTAGTACAAGGGAGAAACCTGGAATTAATAAACTAATACATGAAAAACAATGTTTTCTACATAGCACTACTCTAGAGATCAGTATCAAGATCTATTTCCCTAATAAGACCCCCTTCACAAACTTTTTCTAAAAGACTGAACAGAAAATGAGAGTGTTCTTGGTAGACCATTGGTTATCAGGGTACAAAATAAATTCAGAAAATATCTAGCTTTTGGCATAGAATATATATATATATATATATATAGCTAAAAGTTACTCAGCTAGTAACTGTTAGAGCTTGTACTCAGGTCTGGGAAAAATGTTCACAGGAATAAATCATCTAAAAAGGAAGTGTACCCCAAGTCTAAATAGAAGCATCTATTCTATGATACAGCAAATGTTCTCCCAGATGTGAGTGTTCATGGCTACCAAGAGATGCTCATACAAGGATGTTCACAACAGCTGTATCTGCAGTAGCCAAAAATGATAACATCCAAATAGCCATGAAATGGATGGTAGTTTATCCATAATAGAAATGGATAAACTGTGGTATACTCATATAATGGAACACTATGCAGCAATGGAAAAGAACAAATTACTGATATATTCAACTGCCTCTATGAATCTGACAGACATAATGAGTGAAAGATGTTAGACACAGACTACAAAGTATAAAACTGCATTTATATGAAGTTCAAATATAGGTAAAATTCTCCAAGATACCTTGAGATACAAGTCAGAAAAGTAGTTCCTTAAGGATAAGGGTAGGTGGTCGTGAGGATGATGACAGGGCAGAGCATGGGAGGGTGCTCAACATGTTCTGTTTCTTCATCTGGGTGGTAACTATATGGGTGTATACATATGCAAAAATTTATCATTTGTGCAAATGATTTACGCAAGTTACTCCTCAATTGTTCAAAAAGTGAAGTTTTAAAAAATGATATGAAATTCTCCAAATATATATAGATTAAAAATAAAAACACTGCCAAAAGCATAAAACATGTCAAACCAAAAAGTTAAAGGCAGATTAAATATAACCAGTGAAGATAGAAAAAATATCTAAAGAAAAAGACTACTTATTATTTGACTATGAAAATGCATGAGATAATAGATGCTTCTATTTAGACTTGGGGTACATTTCCTTTTCAGATGATTTATTCCTGGGAACATTTATCCCAGACCTGAGTACAAGCTCTAACAGTTACTAGCTGAGTAACTTTTAGCAAATTACTTAACCTCTCTTGGACTCTTCTTCCTCATTGTAAAAAATACTATAATAGAAGTATCACCTACTTCTAGCACATAGTAAGAACTGCTGCAAAGTCTTAACTCAGACAAGTAAATATTTCATATTCACAAATATTCCCATCTGATATCAACACTATACTTCTAAACATGTGCCCTCTGAGGTGATTAAAATAAAAAAGAAGTTATTCTTCATTATCTGAATAGATGAGCAACAGCAAACTGGTTAATGAACGTTTCTGCAAAAAAAATTACTTCCTATTGGAAATACAATTTTATAATAAGTGGAAAAGTATCTCTAAAATATTTTTAGCTTTGAAATCTAAAATGGTGGAGGGTGAGATCCCAGGCAGCCCATTGGCCATCCTCTTACTGGTCTTCCTTTCCTCCTGATTCCTGGGTCTCTCTTCTACACTTGAATTTTCTTTGGTCCCATCCAAGACAGAATTGCATGGTTTGATGAATTCTAGATTTTACACTTAGGGGTCCCAAGCATTGGCTCTCATTCACCTTCTTTTCAAGGAGTGGTTTTCACAATCTCTGATAAAGCTGAGCTACAATATTATGCCTCTGTATCTGCTAGAAGGTGTCATCATCCAACATAAATTAATAAACTTCAAACACACTTCTTAAAAAATCAAAGCCTTAGAATTAAAATGACTTAATTTATTCCTTCAACTTAGTTTATACAAAACTCTACTGATAATGCTAAAGATTTGTATTTAAGAGACAAATCTTAAAGCAAATTATTCAAGACAAGTTAAAAATCATAAATTGATATAAGAGTTTGCATTTAAGGGTGCCTGGATGGCTCAGTTGGTTAAGCGTTCAACTTTTGATTTCAGCTCAAGTCATGATCTCACAGTTCATGAGTTCAAGCCCTGCTCCAGGCTCCATGCTAACAGTGCGGATCCTGCTTGGGATACTCTCTCTCCTTTTATCTCTGCCCTTCCCCTCCCCCTGCATTTAAATTACTACTAATTTTAAAATTAAAGCAACAACAACAACAACAACAACAACAACAAAAGAGCCCGTTACCACACAATACAAATAAGATCTATTTTCTTGCTCTTGTTCATTACATCAATGCACCCTACATGAAAATGTTACCTAATGGATTAGGATGACAATATGTCTAACTGGTGTCAGTTGATAACTAGAACTCATGAAAGGGATGCACTCATTATTCAGTCCACAAGACTTTAGTCCTTGAATCCTAGCTTCTGTACAAGACCTACTGCTTGGATGTACAAGCATTGTCCAATGGTAAGATAATTTCTGCCACACAAATATAGAACAAATAACCACTACAGATAAGAGCTGCTGGATGCCTATTATAATTTGAAATATGTAAAAGAACTCCTAGCCCTAATGGGGGCAATCAGTGATCAAAGTATTCTCCCTGTAGCAGTTTATTTCCCCAAGATAAGGGCAGCAATAGATGTATATTGCTGAAAGCAGAGCCATGTGCCCATAGCATTTGACAGTTATGAAATGTAAAAAGTTGCTTATTAAAAAAATGTTTTTTCTTTAAATGTCAGAAGCACCCTCAAGAAACTCAATGCATTTCTGGAACTGCTTTTCTGCCTCCTTACTCCTAGTCTGCATAAAGTGGGTGAGCTTGACCCCAAAGACATCCAATGATCAGGCAGATTCCAGACAGAAGGTACATAAGATCACACTCCAGAAGATGGTTACTATCTTAAAATTAAAATAATACACAAGATACTACTTAACATGCTGTAATAAATTCCTTAAAATTCTAGAGTCTGAGGATCCAGAATGCCACGTATCTCTCATCTGCTCCTCCAGATCCATCCTCTACTTGTTACCACACTGCTCTCCCTGGGATGCTAACCTATATGGATTACACTGTTAAGACACAGTCCTCATGGGTCTCTTGTGCTCCTACGTGTCTTGCTTAGTATACCAAGGAAGTAAGACCTTAACCTAAACTCTTACCTGGACCATTTCTCAGGGTCGTGTTTGTACTGAATAAACCTTGAGGAATAAGGTAACGCTTCCCTGAGACAAGTGCTCACTACCAAAGCAATGGATTTCCCAAGCTCAATGTTCCTCAGCCGAAATAAACCTATAAGATGAGCAGCATCCATCTGGGTCTATCACATCATCCTCATAGGAATTGGTAGTGATGGGGAAATATGCTAATATACATGTTGCTTACTTTATTTACTGTGTGAGTAATAAAGTCCTTTGTCTCTGACCTAGGAATCTTGTGTATCCTGCCAGCATCCATGACATAGTAAGGCTAACTTATTAGCCTGTAAGAATAAAAATCAAATCCCAGACTTGATATACATCAAAAGGGTTCCAATGGAGTCTGACCCACTGAGAGCCTCAGCAGTACCAAAGAAAGAAGCATAAAGTCAGAGTATTTATTCCCAACCCCCTCTTTGAAGGAAACTTGGTCCAGCTTTGTTCCTTGAATGAAGCTCACAGCTCTTCTCATGGCAGCCTACTCTAAACAATAGTATCTGGGTCCCAGTAACCTCTCCCTAACCTCATCTCTTAAGGCCTCTGCTCCTGCTGCTTGCACTGGGCTAGCAAAATCCCTTGTGGTTTCCCTATACCCCACTCACACCTTTGTAAGGAGTTCCTCTGTAAATAAGCCCTCCTTGAATTATCTTAGAGTACTGCCATCTGTTTTCTGTTGCAATTCTGACTAGTAAGCAGTAAAGCTTGGATCCAGCAAGTTGCTACCAAGGCACCATTGTCAGCCACATACATTCCAAATGAGAGTTCCCTAAGGAAGAATGCCCCGGACAAGAAAGAACCTGCCTTGAGAAAAAAAGAGGAGACTAGAGGAATGAGCAACTGGTGCTTGCATTCCTTTATTTGTCCACTGGGCCCCAGTAAACATATCTCTGCTTTAAGAGTTTGGACCAGGGGTTAGCACACTTTTCTTTAAAAGGCTAGAGAATAAATATTTTAGGCTCAGCAGACCAGATGGTCTCTGTCACAATACTCAACTCTATTGTTGCAGCACAAAAGTAGTCATAGAAAATACATAAATAAATTAGCATGGGTGCACTCCAATAAACCTGTATTTATACAATAAACAACAAAACATTACTTCTAAAATAAACCAGACTATACTATGCTGATCCCTAGTTTAGACCAGTGTTGCCCAATGGAAATATAATGTAAACCATATATGCAATTTAAAATTTTCCAGTAGCTGTATTTAAAAAGTATAGATAGGTAAAATTTCAATGTTTTATTTAAATCGGTATATCTAAAATATTAACATTTTAACATGTAATTAATATAAAATTTTGAGATACTTTTGCATTAAATCTTTTAAACCTAGTGTATACTTTACACAAAGCACATCTCAACCTGGATGCAAAATTTTCACCAGAAATATCTGATCTGAATGTAGATTTGATAAAATTGATAGTTGAAAAAGTAGATTTATACATCAAAGTTATTCCAAACATACTTAAAAGTTTTCTAATAACTGGCTCAAGTATCTGTTTTCAAATTTAAGTTAATTAAATAACATTTGCAATTCAGCTCCTTGGTTGTACTAGCCATACTTCAAGTGCTCAGTGGCTGCATGCACACAAATACCTTCTTGAACAGTGCAAGTCAAGATGATATGAGGCTAAAAATGACTACCCTCCAAGAATAGTAGTTGTTCAGTTATCTGCCTTAGTTTTCCAACTCAGGACATTCTGGAACATTAACCTCTACTCCTATGAATGCTCTACTCTCATTTTCTCAGCCTCTTTGCCTAGGTCCAGGTCTCTTAATATCTAGGTTGCTGTGGATAACTTTCTAGACTTTTCTTCTTGCCTATGCTATTCTAATCATGCACTGCTGTGATATTTTTGGCCTGTCTGAACCACAGAACTAGCTAGTCTCACTCTTATCTATCTGAATTCCCATTGTGGATTTTTTCATCTCCATTTTGGGCTAACTTGGTCTACAGGCCTCCAGGGGGGCAACATAATCAAAACTTGTTTGTTCTAAACTGTTTGCTGAATTCTTACACTATATAAAGTCAGCAAAGTTAACAGGGAAGGTGTAAAATATCCTTGGCTATATTCACCATCAGTGGAAGGCTCTCTTTCCTTACTTACCTATCCAACTTGGAATTTTACCTTCTTAAGTACCATGTATTCTAACTGTGCAGCTCAACAAGTTGAGTTGTTAAACCTACTTAAGATATATACACATAAAATGATTTTAAATCAATTAGTATCTATAAGTATGTACATGAAACACAACCAATTTGTGGTTATCTATGGAAAGAAGTGGCAAGGAGAACAAAGAGAACTCTAGATAGCTCCCAAATGTCATTCTGAGTTTGAACCTTTTCTTCTACAAAACCCAGTCACTTTTTCCACCTTTCTTCTTGGTAAAGTGATAGTAAACAAAGCAACTACCCAGCAATTAGAAGCTGAATAGAGAAAGAGAAGCATATGCACACATGTACTCCCGAATAACCATGTTATTAAAAAGACCAACTGCATAATCCCCATAATTTGTCAAAACCCTCATAATTAAAGATTGTATATATATATTAATATATTAAAGTTTTTATTTATTTTTTAAGTAATCTCTATATCCAACATGGGGGTCAAACTCACAACCCCAAGATCAAGAGTCGCATATTCCACTGACTGAGCCAGCGAGGCACCTCAAAGCTTATATTTAAACAAAAATTAAAAAAGGGGAGGGCACCTGGGTGGCTCAGTCAATTAAGTTTCTGATTCTTGATTTGGGCTTGGGTCATAATCTCATAGTTTGTGGGAGCAAGTCACGCGTTGGGCTCAGCACTGAAAGTGTGGAGCCTCTCTCTCTCTCTGCCCCTTCCCAACTTGTGCGTGCTCATGTGCACATTCTCCCTCTCTCAAAATAAATAAATAAACATCAAAAACAAAAAAAACAAAAAAGAGAAGATACTTACAAATTTCTTTCCAGATTCCTGAAGGAACAGGTTTTTCATGTCCTTTCTTTTTAGATCCAAATCTTTTGCCTTCTAAAGATCTGGGATTATATCTATTTTCTGAATATGTTATTTCTGAACCTATTAATAATTCAAACAAAACTTCATTTGCATTAAGAGAATTACTTTAGAAAAGGTATTAGCAAAAACAAAAAAGGGGGGGGCATTTAAAAAATTAAAAAACCTGAATCTTCATTTCTTAAAATGTCCCGCAGCAAAGAAGCACAACCATCAAGCCCTTGTACAGTTTCAGTCTGTAAGGAGAAACTCATTTAGAAATTAATATATAAAATTTTAGCACAGAAAAAAAGCAACAAATTATGTAGTTTTGAAACTTCTTTTAGAAACAATTTATTATTGGTAGAAAACATGTCTTCAAGCAAAAAGCCTTCATATGTCCTTAAGGCAATTAATACTTACCCTCTGAACTTTTATTCCTGCTTTTTAGCTTTTACCTGAAGACTAAGATAATGTATATTGCAGGGGTGTCTGGGTGGCTCAATCAATCCTCTGACTCTTGATTTTGGCTCAGGTCATGATCTCACAGTTGGTGAGATGGAGCCCCATATCACGCTCAGCACAGAGCCTCCTTCGGGAATCTCTCTCTCCCTCTCTCTGTCCTTCCCCCACTCTTGCTCTTGCTCTCAAAAACAAATAAAGATTAAAAAAAAAAAGATAGTGTATTTTATCTATTCAGTTTAATCTTACCTGACTTTCTGAGTCAGAATGGATAGGATAGCCAGAATCTGCATTAAAACGTGATATCTTTCTTAAATGGGTCCTAGAAAACAAGTTCATTAATATTTTCACAAATACTGCAAAATTTGTTTCCAAAATATATTAGTAAGTAATCATTTTCTTCCCAGTAAAGTTTAGATAAGGAAGCTTGTCCACAAGATAGGACTTATATAAGATTTTATAATGATTACAAAGAGTATTAAACAGTAACATGATCAAAATGGGCAGATATGGAAGGTTCCTCCCCAGAGTCTGTGAAGGTAGAGACCTATCTAGTTTTCTGAGGTAGGTAAAACTTAGTCCAGCCCAAAGACTCAAGAAAAACTCTCTTGAGGTTTTCTCAAGTGGTGAACTTCTTTAAGTACTTACCCTTTCTTTCCATTTGTCAACTTAGCAGGCCCAATGTGTTTTGCTGAAGATACCACCTATGATATAATGCATTATAGTAAATATACAAATATTTTTCTATTATATTCTCAATAGGCTCTCTTGACCGAACCTGAAATGCAGTTTCCTTTCTTTTTGTGATAAAAAACCATAATGAAATTTACCAGTGTAGCCACTTTTTATTGTACAGTTCTGTGGCATTAAATACACTCAGTGACATTAAATATATCCACCGTTGTGCCTACCATCCATCTCCAGAACTTTCTCATCTTGCCAAAGTGAAATTCTGTACCCATTACATACTAACTTCCTATCCACTCCTTCCCTTAGCCCCTGGCAACCACACTTCTATTTATGGTCTTTATGAATTTGTCTACTCTAGGAAGCTCATATAAATGGAATCATGCAGTTTGACCTTTTATGAATGGCTTATTTCACTTAATCTAATGTCTTGTAGTAAGTGTCAAAATTCCCTTCCTTTTTTTAAGGCTGAATAGTATTCCATTTGATGTATATAACATGTTATTGTTTAAAAAGGTGATATATCCTACAAATCCGTTTTCAATTGAAATCAATAAATTATTTGTTCTATGTAAAATGTCAAGCAAACAGGACATATATTTGTTCCTTATATTTGTTCTGTTTAAGCTGAAAACAAAGCAGAAGTACCTACTACAGTTAAGTTTGTACTACTCTCAATCTCTGAACATGTTCTACATTCCCTAGTCTTCAAAACATGTGAGTTAAAGATATAGCAGAGTTTATAATTCTGATTCTATTCATTCACTTTATTTACTTATTTAATCTAATTTATTGTCGAGTTGGCTAACATACAGTTATACAGTGTGCTCTTGGTTTGGGGGGTCAATTCCCGTGATTCACCACTTACATACAACAACCAGTGTTCACCCCAAGTGCCCTCCTCAATGCCATCACCTTTTCCCCTCTACCCCACCCCCCATCAACCTTCAGTTTGTTCTCTGTATTTAAGAGTCTCTTAAAGTTTGCCTCCCTTCCTCTCTGTAACTATTTTTTTCTCCTTCCCTTCCCCCATGGTCTTCAGTTAAGTTTCTCAAGTTCCACATATGAGTGAAAACATATGATACCAGTCTTTCTCTGAATGACTTATTTCACTTAGCATAATACCTCCAGTCCCATCCATGTTGCTACAAATGGCAGGATTTCATTCTTTCTCATTGCCAAGTAGTATTCCATTGTATATATAAACTACATCTTCTTTATCCATTCATCAGTTGATGGACATTTAGGCTGTTTCCATAATTTGGCTATTGTTGAAAGCACTGCTATAAACATTGGGGTACATGTGCCCCTATGAATCAGCACTCCTGTATCTTTGGGTAAATTCCTAGTAGTGCTATTGTTAGGTTGTAGGGTAGTTCTATTTTTAATTTTTTGAGGAAACTCCACACTGTTTTCCGGAGTAGCGGCACCAGTTTGCATTCCCACCAACAGTGCAAGAGGGTTCCCACTTCTCCACATCCTCACTAGTTTCCTGTTTCCTAAGTTGTTCATTTTAGCCACTCTGACTGATATGAGATGGTATCTCAGTGTGGTTTTGATTTGTATTTCCCTGATGATGAGTGACGTTGAGCATCTTTTCATGTGTCTGTTGGCCATCTGGATGTTTTCTTTGGAAAAGTGTCTATCCACATCTTCTGCCCATTTCTTCATTGGATTATTTGTTTTTCAGGTGTTGAGTTTGATAAGTTCTTTATAGATTTTGGATACCAACCCTTTATCTGATATGTCATTTGCAAATATCTTTTCCTTTTTTTTTAATAGTTTATTGTCAAGTTGGTGTCCATATAACACCCAGTGCTCATCCCAACAAGTGCCCTCATATACATGAGCTTATATTACAGAAAATCAGGTAATGAAAATTACTCAGGATAAAAGCACCCTGCAACAGTAACTATCATATTGACACATTTTCATCAAAACTTTTTTGTAATTTTTATTCTGAAATAACAGTACAAAGAATTTCTGTATACATTTTTTCCAGATTCCCCAACTGTTGACATTTTACTACATCTGCCATGTTCTCTCTCAAAATATATGCAAAAAACAAAATATATACAATAAAAATATATAGAAATAATAAGATTAGTGGTTTTCCTGAACCATTTCAGGGTATGTTAGATATGATACCCTAAATATTATATTAAATATTTACTCCTAAATATTTCCTAAGAACAAGGTCACTTATATAATTATCAAAATCAGGAAATTAACATTGATACTGTATTATAAAATATACTTTATTCTATTATAAAATATAGACTATATTCACATCTTGCCAATTATACTAATACTATCCTTTATAAAAAAAAAAAATTCTGGTCCATATCCAATGCAGGATCATATGTTGCATTTAATTGTCATACCTCATTAGTCTCCTTTAATCTGGAACAGTTCCTTGGGTTATCACTTATTGTGTTTTATAAGAGTACAAGCCACTTATGTTGTAGAATGTCCCTCTGGACATTTAGACTTGTCTGATGTTCCCTCATGATTAGATTCAGGTTGTGCATTTTTGGCAGGAATACCACAAATGGGAAATTTTGTTCTTCTAAATATGAGTAGGCATATGGTATCAGTTTGTCCCATTACTAGTGATGTAAACTTTGATCATTTAAGATGGTCTCTGCCAGGATTTTCACTGTAAAGTTAGTATTTTTACCACTGTATTAGGCAATTAATGGGGAGATACATTGAGATGATGCAGACTTCTATTCATCAGATTCACCCAGTAGTTGTAGCATCCTTTGATGATTGCCTTAATCCCAATTATTTGTGAAATGGTGATTTGTGTAACTTACATCCTCCTTCTATAGTTATTAGTTGGCATTCAACTGTAGGTAATCACTTTTCCTTTGTTGTTTGTTAGTATGGACTCAGTGATTCCTATGTTATACAATGGATTATGATCCATTATCATCATTTAAAATATTTTGATGCTCCAATTGTCCCAGATTCTGTCAGTGGTAGTCTCTTCAAAGTGGCTTCTGTATCATTTTAACATGCCCCCATTATTTTTTGAGCAATTCCTTACTTTCTGTAACATGGTCCTCTGGGCTCATCTTTTGTTGTTGTTGTTTTCATTGTAGTAATATGTAACATGAAAACTACTTTTTAAACAAATTTTTAAGTGCACAATACCACACAGCTGATTACTGGCATGATGTTGTACAGCACGTCTCTAGAACTTACCTATCTTGTATAACTGCAACTTTATATCCAGTGGATAGCAACTCCGCCATTCCCCATCCCTCCAGCCCAGCCCTTGGTACCTACCATTCTGCTCCCTGCTTCTAGGAGTGTGACTAACTTAGGTCCCTTATGGAAGTGGAATAATGCACTGTCTGTCCTTTTGTCTCGCTTATTTCACCTAGCATAATATCCTCAAGGTTCATCCATGTTGCATAAGGCAGGATTTTTCTTTTTTAAGGCTGAAAAATTTTCTATTGTGTGTATATAGCATATTTACCCATTTACCTATCAACAGACATTCAGATTGTCTCTATATTCTGGCTACTGTGAATAATGCTGCAATGAACAGAGAATTACAAGTATCTCTTTGAGATCATGTTTTCAATTCTTTTGGATGAAAACCCTGAAGTAGAACTTCTGGATCATATAAGAGCTGTTTTTAATTTTCTGAGCAACTATCATGCTGTTTTTCATAGCAGCTGCACCATTTTCCATTTCCGCAAAAAGTGTACAAGGGTTCCAATTTCTCCACATCCTCAGCAATGAAAACAGCCATCCTAAGAGGTATAGGGTGTTATCTCACTGCGGTTTTAATTTGCATTTCCCTAATGAATAGTAATGTTGAGCACCTTTTCATGTGCTTATTGGCCTTTTATGTATCTTTTTTGGAGATAGGTCTATTCAGGTCCTTTGCTCATTTTCTAATGAGATTATTTGTTTTTTTTGCTATTAGGTTGTAGGAGTTCCTTATATATTTTGGGTATTAACCCTTTAGAAGACAGAGGGTTTACAAATCTTTTTTTCCCATTCCATAAGCTGCCTTTTCACTCTGTTGTTTCCTTTACTCTGCAGATGCTTTTTATTTTGATGTATCCAGGCTCATCTTATAATTTTCCTGCTTCAGCTGTGGAGTTGAACATTCCTCTAAGAAGTCATGGTTCCTTTAGTGAATGATATTTAGAAACCAGATCTAGACACTAGATTTTGCTACTGGGACTTCCAATCTTGTCCCATGTGGATTTTCTTAGTAATAATGACTAGCTAGTTGCAAAAAAGTAAATCTTATTTTTAAATAGTTTTCCATATTAACATACCTTCAAAAAATTTTTAATGGTTGTATAATATTTCCTTGAGTGGAAGTAATATAACATGTCCTTGGGTTGCTTCTATTTTTCACAACTGAAAAACAAGGCTGAAAAAACCCTTTCCATATACAGAAAAAAGTATTTTCATACTCAGGATTAAAAGCTTATTTATTTGGTGAAAGGCTATTATTCATTTAATAGCTCTTGATACAAATTACAAAAACACTCTCAAAAAGAAGGAGTGTCTCAAATCACAACGCATGAGAACATAGTTTTGCTTTATCTCACATTTACTTCCACTGGGTATTATCATTAAACTTCTTTTCTTTGCTATTTGAGAAAAATATAAGCATTTTTTATAAGTTGTATCTCCTACTAACAGGTGCAAGATTATACTTGAATATTTAGAGGTACCAAAGTCTGTCATTTCCATTTAATCCACACCCTATGATTTATTACTTCTGTGCACTAGGAACCTAAATTTCAAAAAGAAGGCTTGTTCAAAGTCATACATCTAATTAAACATAGTGTAATGTTTAAAAGGAGGGGCTTTCAGACCACCTATGTGGGTCTGAATCTTGCTCCACTGCTAACAAGTTTTATAACTGTAGGAAAATTATTCAAAGTCTCCATCCTCAATTTTCTCATCTATAAAATGGAGATGATAACAGTATCTACCTCATAAGGCTATTACGAATATATAATGAATTAGAAGTACTTTTGGAAAAACACTTAAGAATAGCATCTACCACACAAGTGCTACATCAGTGTTAGCTATTCTTATCATTAAGATGGTAGTAAACTGTTTTTAAGGGGACCAATTTTGTTGCACGTTTATGCCAAGAGTGAGATAGATGTTGTATCAAATTCTCTCATGTAATCCCACCCCCAGCCCCAATTCTTTGAGGCAGGATTTTATACCTATTTACACCTATTTTACAGCTCCAGGAAAGGAGGCTCAGAGAAGTAAAAAGCACTTTGCTTAATATCACTACCACAGTAGTGGCAGAATTGGAATGTGAATCTTGCAGGTGACCTTGATTACAAAAACCATGTTTTTCCCCCTTGCTGACTGCACATATTCTGAGTTCATTCAATGTAAGAGAAAGATCTATAAGGGTAAGGATGGTCAGGAAGCACTCATGAAGAAAGTCTTGAGCCAGTCTTTTTATAAAAAGTGTAAGATTCACATTAATGCGCAAGAGAGTATCATCGGTGAGTTGATAAATGGAGATTTTAAAAAAAGAGAGACGTGGATATATTTAAAGAGGATAAGATCATTCTAGGTAGTGAGTCTGTGTGAGAAATAGTTGATTCATTACCTGAAAATCTACTATGTGCTAGGTGCTGTCCTAGGCCTCAAGGATATAGAGATAAATTGTGTAGAAACAGAGGTAGATACATTAGCAACGTCTCTAGCCTCAGGAGCAGTTTAATAATAGCACAAAGCACAAAAGGGGGCGGGGCAGCATGGAGCATCCAAACAATGAAGATGTGAGAGTGGTAGGGAAGGCTCTTGAGCTGAGGGAAAAGATAGAAAGTGGAGGTAGAGTGACTTCCAGGCAGGACAGAAAGCAAAGTGCAAAGGCACGGAAGCACGAGAGGGCACGGGGCGTCCAAGACACTGCAGAACAAACAGGTGAACAGGGTTGGATACACTCGGAGTGAGGGCAGGTCTGGTAAGGCATGCACTCGGGGGATCCAAAAAAATCGGTGTTTGCAAGACAAAGAACTGAAATTTTACCTTGAAAAAGAAGAGTTCGTGCCAATTTTTAAGCAGAAAAGTAAATCATTCATTTACAACGAGGGGCGTGCTTTTGGAAAGAATAAGGCTGTTGGTGGGGGCACTAACTGGGAGACTTTAGTTTTTACAAGTAGTAGTAAAATATCAGCAATTGTGACGGAAGACCAGAAAATAGCAGCACTTGGTGTAATAGCCAAGAACCTGGATTTGATGCAACAATATACTGAGCCTTGGAGAGGTTAAGTCACCCTACCCAGAGAGGAGGCTGGCCTCGAACTCCGCGCCCTACACCAAAGCCAGCGCTCTGGAGGACTACGATTAAAACAGAACATACATCTATATACAGTGCGGCTGTGTTAGGATGTTAAGACTGGGTGTGCCCCCCCCCCAACTGCCCTCACTCAGCACTTCTAACGCCGCCCGCCGCACTGTCTTTGCTTTTATTGTTTTCTGAGTTTTGCACTTCTCCTGGCCCTTGCCCCTTCGAGTCCTTCTACATCCCCGTAGTGGACGCTTCAGATCCGCAGCCCTCACCTGGCCCGATCGAGATCCGGACCTGACCATCTCTCGCAGCCTCAGAGAAGCCCGGACGGAGGAACGTACGGCTAAACGATAAAAAGAAATTAACCGCCGTGAACTCCAGACTCCCCTTGGCCCGCCCCCCGAGCTTCCGCTTCCGGCAAGGAGCCCGCCGAAAGCCGCGCCTCAGAGTTTCGTGAGTGCTGCGGAGGCCTCTCAAGTACTCCCAGCGCAGCATTCTGAGCTTGCGCGATAGACCCCTCCCGGCGCCGGCTCGCGTCGCACGAAGTCGGTGGGAGAAGTCTACAGACGCCTGCAGGCCCGCGGGGCGGAGCCGGGCGGAGCGGGGCTGGGCCCTGCCTGACAGGCGGGGGACGGAGTCGGCCGGCAGGGGCGGGGCCGGCCGGCAGGGGCGGGGCCGAGAGGATCCGGACTCCTGAACACTTCATATACACTCAAGTACTGAGCTCAGAACCGCTAGCCTGAATGAGCTGGGAGAAAAGGAGATAAGGATTCGCGAGGCCCAGAGGAAGGGTCTAAGGGAGAGGACCGATAGACTTCAAAAGGAATTGGCTTGGCTCGGTGTTCTCTGTGCCATTTTGAATGATTTTGGTTTTGATAGTCCATAAAAATCAATCCTTGGTCTGGTTATCTTTGTCTATCTGATGGCAATTTCAAAATTATTCACTGTGGCCCTTGATCTCAGAATGGTTCTCATGAGTTGGGATCTTGTTTTATTTCAATGCATAGCTGTTTACTCTTCATTTGAGGTAATTACTGTTAATGAAGAATGATTCAGTATTCTTACATTATTTAGCATGCTTCAAGATTTTTAATGGGAATTAGTCTTTGGTGGTAAAGACATTGAGTTTGGGTTCATGTTTTAATTCGCATTGGGGAAAAATTAAATAAGCCAACTAATCACATTTTTTAATAGGAAGAAGAGCTAGGTTTTGAAAATCTTAATTACAATTAAAATAAAAACTCAGAAACTAAAGTCATATTGATTTTGGGAAACTGGGCATTTCATAAATTTAGCTTTGTATTGAATTAGACTTGAAAACCTCTCCCATCTTCATCCTTCTATAAGTGTTTAACACATTTACTTGAGATTACAGTTTTTTTCCTTAAATTGACTTGATTTTTAGAAACTTAGGTTTATTTTTCTTAATACATGCTTATTTTTGAAAATATAGATAAGAAGTTAAAATCACCCATAATCCCAGAGAGTACTGCTTTTAGCAGTTTGGTGCATTCCCTTCTAGACTTTTCCCAACTGTGTATATATTTTTATATATATATTACAATAGGATATGATGCATATTGCTGTAATGTGAATGTTTTAATATGTCATCAACATCGCTTCTCAGTAATTTACAATTACAAAATGGCTGCCTAGTGTACCAGTTTTCTACTGTTTGGAATTTTATGCTTCTCCCCTCCTTTTTGTTTATCTGGGGGGTTTTTTTAGTTTTTCTTTTTTCCCCCTCTTTTAAATTTTTGAGGTAGTCGCTTCCAGGGTTTTTTGTTTTTATTTTCTCAAAAATGTTTTATTGTGGCAAATTACACAAAACATAAAATATACCATCTTATGTGGTTTATCTGTACCATGGAATACTACATGGCAATGAGAAACAATGAAATCTGGCCATGTGGAGCAACATGGATGGACCTTGAGGGTGTTATGCTGAGCGAAATAAGTCAGGCAGAGAAGGACAAATCTCATATGTGTGCACGTATAGGAGGATTAGGAGGAACTTGACGGAGGACCAAGGGGGAGAAGAAGGGCGGAAATGGTGGGGGAAAGGGAGAGAGGCAAACCATGAGAGACTCTTGAATGCTGACAAAAACTGAGGACTGATGGATGTGGGGGGGCGGGGGGATGGGCATGGAGGAGGACACTTGTGGGGATGAGCACTGAGTGTTATGTGGAAACTAATTTGACAATAAACTATTTGTAAAAAAAAATGATAAAAAAATATATATACCATCTTAACCATTTTTAAGTGCACAATTCAGTGGTACTGAATACATTCATAATGTTGTACAACCATCACCACCATTAGCTCCAGAACTTTTTTCATCTTGTGAAAGTGATATTCTATCCCCATTAAACAACTCCCCATTCCACTCTCCCCAAAAGCCCCTGGAAACAACCATTGTACTTTCTGTCTCTATGATTTTGACTAAGTACCTCATATAAACAAGATTACACAATATTTATCCTTTTGTAACTGGCTTATTTCACTTATCTTTAAAAGTTTGTCCATGTTATAACATATGTTAAAAGTCCCTTCCTTTTTAAGATTAAGTAATATTTCATTGTGTGTATATAGCTATCATAAATATTGTTGCTCTGACCATGGTTGTACCAATATCTCTGCTGGACCCTGATTTCAATTTTGAAATATTCAGAATTGCTGCATCATATGGTAATTTTATTTTTAATTTTTTGAGGAACTACCATACTGTTTTCCACATGGCTGTACCATTTTATATTCCCACCAACAGTGATAAGGGTTCCAATTTCTCCCCAGCACTTATTTTCCATTTATTTTGTTCTTTTTTTGGTTTTGGTAGTAGCCAAACCTCATCCTAGTGAGTGTGAGGAAGTATTTCATTGTAATTTTGATTTGCATTTCCATAATGATTAGTAATGTTGAACATCTTTTCTCATGATTATTGGTCATTTGTATATGTATTATCCCAGTACAACACTGTTTTTATTACAGTTGCTTTGAAATAAGGTTTGAAAGCAAGTTTGAAATAAGGAAGTGTGAATCCTCCAGCTTTTTGCTCTGTTTCAAGATTGTATTGGTTATTCAAGGTCCCTTGAGATTCCATATGAATTTTAGGAAGAGTTTTTTTTTTTTTTATGTCTGCAAAAACTGTCACTGGGATTGTGATAGGGATTAAGCTGTAAATCTCTTTGGGTAATATTGACATCTTAACAATATTAAGTATTTCAATCCATGAACATGGGATGTGTTTGCATTTATTTATGTTTTTAATTCCTTTGAGCATCATTTTGAAGTTTTTATTGTACAAGACTTTCACCTCCCTGATTAAGTTAATTCCTGGATGTCTTATTCTTTTCTGAAGACTAATGTAAATGTAATTGTTGTCTTAATTTCCATTTCAGACTGTTCATTAGTTGTACGAAAGTGCAATCAATTTTCATGTGCTGACTTTGTATTCTGTTACTTTCTTGAATTCATTTATTAGTTCTAATAGTTTTTTGGTGGAAACTTTAGAGTGTTTTACATATAAGATTACATACTCTCTGGACAAACATTATTTTACTTCTTCCTTCCCAATTTGAATTGTTTTATTTCTTTTTCTTGCTTAGTTGCTCTAGCTTGAACTTCCAGTACTATGTTGAATAGAAATGGTGAAAATGGGCATTCTTGTCATGTTCTTAATCTTAGAGAAAAAGCTTTCAGTCTTACCATTGAATATGATGTTCACTGTGAGGTTTTCATATATGGATTTTATTATGTTGAAGTAGTTTCCTTCTATTTCTATTTTGTTGAATGTATTCATCATAAGAGGATGTTGTTTTGTCAAGTGCTTTTCAGCATCAGTTGAGATGATCATGTGTGTTTCCCCCCTCCATTCTATTAATGTGGTATATTATATTGATTGCTTTTCATGTGTTGAGCCATCCTTGCATCCCAGGAATAAATCCCACTTGATTATGGTATATAAAACTTTTAATATGGTGATGAAATCAGCTTGCAAGTATTTTGTTGAGGGTTTTTACATCAATATTCATAAGGGATATTGAGCTGTAGTTTTCTTTTCTTGTGGTGTCTTTGGCTTTGATATGAGAATAATGCTGGTTTTATTAAATGTGTTATGAAGGGTTTCCTCCTCTTCAATTTTTTGGAAAAGTTTAAGAATGGTTAATATTAATTCCTCTTTAAGGTTTTGGTAATATTCACCATGGAAGCCCTCAGGCCCAGGACTTTTCTTCGCCAGAAGATTTTTAAAAAGCTTTTTTAAATGTTTATTATTTTTGAGAGAGAGAAAGAGACAGAGAGCAAACAGGGGAGGGACAGAGAGAAGGGAGACACAGAATCGAAAGCAGGCTCCAGGTTCAGAGCTGTCAGCACAGAGCCCCACGCAGGGCTCAAACTCACAGACCGTGAGATCATGACCTGATCTGAAGTCAGCTACTCAATCAACCAAGCCACCCAGGCACCCTTGTCAGGAGATGTTTGATTGAGGAGTCAATCTCTTTATTACAGATCTAATCAGAATATAAATTTCTTCATAATTTAGTCTTGATAGGTTTGATTTCTGGGAATTTGTCCCATTTCATGTAGGTTATTCAATATATTCATAGTACTCTAAAAATATTTTTATTTCTGTACAATCAGTAGTAATGTCCCTACTGTCATTTCTGGTTTTAGTAATTTCAGACTTTCTCTTTTTTTCTTAGTCTATCTAGCTAAAGTTTTGTCAACTGTTGATCTTTTGAAAAATCAACTTTTGGTTTCATGGATTTCCCTAATATTTTTCTATTCTCTTTTATTTATCTCTGCTCTAATCATTGTTCTTTCAGCCAGCTTCAGGTTCAGTTTTTGTTGTTGTTTCTTAGCTCCTTCAGTTGTAAAGTTAGGTAGCTGATTTGTGATCTTTCTTGTTTTTAATGTAAGCGTTTATAAATTTTTCCCTTAGCACTACTTTCACTGTGTCTCATAAGTTTTGCCATGTTCTGTTTTTGTTTTCATCAATCTCTAAGTGCTTTCTAATTTCTCTTGTGATTTCTTTTTTGATCCGTTGGTTAGGAGTATGTTGTTTAATTTCCACAAATTTGTGACCTTCCCAGTTTTATTTCTGATATCTAACTTCATCCTGTTGTAGTTGGAGAAGAGACTTTGTATGATAACCTGTGTTTTTAAATCTATTGAGACCTAGTTTGTGGCCTAACATCTGGTCTATTCAGAAAATGTCCCATGTGCATTTGAAAAGAATGTGTAGGCTGTTGGATAGAATGCTTGATATATGTCTGTTAGATTTATTTGGTTTGTTGTGTTGCTTAAGTCCTGTATTTCCTTATCTTCTGTCTAGTTGTTGTATCCATTATTGAAATTGGGGTATTCATGTCTCCAACTATTATTATTTGGCTGTTTATTTCTCCATTCATTCTGTCAGTTTTGCTTTATATATTTGGATGGTCTGTTATTAGGATTATTCAGGACTCAGCCCTTTGAACCTGTTATGGAACTTTAGGTCCCTCTAGTGTCATGGTTAGTGACTCTGCTTGACAGTGCTCTAATTTAAAACATTGGATCAATGGCTTTTCCAATTGGCTCACTTTTGAAGTGTGAAAGTGTCTGTTCATGTTAACCCAATTTCAGTTTATAGAAAACAACCAAAGTTGCAAAACATATGAAAATCTAGAAACACAGTTAAGATTTATAGCCAGGATACAAGATTCAAAAAGTAAGAAGATGTGGGCTGGATTTTAAATTAAATGTTGGAAGTATGAGCTGGGTTCTGCTTAGAAAGATCTGAGACTACCCTGTTGCTTTTCCTCAGCCATTTAGTGCCTTCTGGAATTATCTCTACCCAAGGGTTCTTAACCTTTTTTGATCATGTACAATTTTGAGCATTTGCTAAAAGCTTTGGATTTTTTCCCCAGAAAAATGCTAATGTGCACACTTAACATATATATATAGTGTTATCAGAAACATTCAGGAGCCTCTCCAAGGATTTTAGGTTAAGAATCCTATTCTTACCTAATTCAAAACCAGCTTTCCACATGTGAGTGTCCAGCTCCTTCTATTGTAGGGCACTGGCGATCTTGGATGTTGGTTAACTAGGGATGGCGAGGTGTCTGATTGAATAGTGTCAAGGAGAGAGAGGGCATGAAGCACAGAGAAAATGGAATTGAGCCATAATCTTTGCATTTCCCACTGAAGCTTTAAATGTATCTGCAGTCTTCACTTTAATCAAAATAGCTTCATTTGGGAAAGAGAGAGCCCACTTCTTTTTCTTTATAAAATCCTGATTTTATTGCTTCCTGAATGTTTTTCTTTTTAAAGGAGAAATATAAACCATATGTTACAGGGGTCTCAGTTTGACAGCTTAACTGAGGTCATGCTAGGATTCAGTTATTTCTGGCTATGATAGGAAGGTTAATAGAAAGTATCTGACAGGGGTCTGTTGACATCAAGGACAAAGAAAGCCCCTTTGGAACGATCTCATCACAAGGAAGAAACCATTGCTTTGGGACAACGTGCCAGGTTTGAGGGTCAAGTGTGATTTTAACACAGCACGCTGTCACTTCGCTGTCACTTATTGCCCTGCTGCCCCTAAGGAGTTGTGCCTGAACCAAGGAGAGAAACAATAGCAGTTAAAATGCTAAAAAGTGTCTTATGAAAATCTCTGTCAGGTATTGTAGCAGATGTTGGTGGTACCCCATGCAAATGCCTTCAAAAGCTGCTTCTCGTGCTCACCTAGGACTTCCTACCTGTGAGCATTTTCTGTTTTTGCGGCAAAAGGAGCAAGCTTGGACCTTAAGCCAGGCAAGCTGGAAATGCCAGTAAGTTAATGCCCCTGGAAACAGCCCTCAGTCAATGACAGAGGAGAAATGGGTGAGGAAGCAGCGGTAGCTGATGTTGAAGAGCCTCCTCATCCCTCAGATTGGGATAGTTCTAGGATGTGTTTCACCCTGTCTCCCAGAGTCCTGCAGCACAGCTGGGCTTTCGGGATAACTGGCCTGATAACACACTATTGGCTTTCTTTCCATCACTATATTGCTTTTCGTACTCCCTCTCCACTGTTCCTGAAATCGCCTCCCAGTAAACTATTTGCACTCAAATCCTTATCTCAGAGACAGTTTCTGGGGAGAGACTACGAAAAAAGGCACTGAGCAAACAAGACAGCATAAGGTTGGAGTCAGACAGGCCTGGATTCAAATTCCTTCTCACCAGTGTCAGTGAACAACTTAATTTCTCTAAGTCTCTTTCTTCATCTATAAAATGGGGAGGACAAAACTGACTTTACAAGGTCAGGCCGTAAAGAAAATTTATAGAGAGTGTTGTGCATAGTGGCTGCACATAGTAAGTGCTTAATACATGTTCCAATGATCACTGATAGAGTATTTATAATATTGTTACTACACCACAGCACAGGTCGAGGCCAGCTGTTTTTCACCTTTGGGATGACTGCTGAAGTAGGTTGATTTGGCAGATGTGCTGTAGAGGCTGTCTAAGCTTAGTGGTATCAGTGGCTTAGAGGAAGCATTAACGCAGTGAGCCAGGGCAGGAGAGGAGGAAAATGGCAGACATCAAGTTTAGAAGAAAAACCAGTGGCACTGCCAGCTGTGCTTAGTTTCAGTGGGTGGCTACAGTACCATCAGTGACTTCACATCTGGGTCCAGTATTCACTTTGGGGTTCCAGTTGCCTCACTCTTGACAGATTATGCTCAGGGCTCCTGAGGTTTAGTTTCTAATTTCAATACATTTTCTCAAACATGCAAAGCCCCCTTCTGCTTCCATTTAGGACCTTAACTTGCCTTAGGGCCTTTCAAATTGGGGCTATTCCTTCTATTCCCCTTCACTACTCACTCCCAGGCAAGATCCTGTTTGAACCCTTTGGTCACAATAAAAGAGAAATGGAGAGAATGAGGCAGGTTAGAGGACTTCACACTCAAACCCTCATCCTAGTTCATTAGGGTGCGAGGTCTCACCTGCGGGCTTCAGCCTTTCCCAGCAGCCTCAGGTCCAGGAGCAGATAGACATGATAGGTCACTTTGGCTAAGATGGCAGACAGCAGGGACAATTGCTTGTTGCCCACCCCTGCAGGTGCAGCCAGATGACCATGGTGGGGAGAGTATGTTTCAGCTCCTCATTATTTCACTCTAGGCCAAAATAAAAGGCCTATGGTGTCGTCACTTCATAATCTTCTTTTACTTAGATTCTAAATAGACACATTTCTCCCCAATTCAGTAGAAAGATATGTGTATATGAAAAGGCATGCTAACCTGATTCTCACACAAAAACAACTTTTAAGAGAGAAGAGTATTACAGAAAGAAGGAATCCAGCAACCTTGGCACACCTGGCCTTAAGAACAACAACCCTATAGCCTGTTCATCTCATTTGCTTCCTGGAAGAAAGAAAAATCTTCTAGTGACCTTGTCAGAGGTCTTAAACTCATGCAGGGCAATTCTCAAAAGGGTCCCATTTTATCTGTATATGATGTCAGAAAAATCTGCTGACAGTGACACTTTAATACTGACTTCTGAAACATGCTATAGTACATATCAGGGTGACTTCCATTAAAATGATTTAAGTTCATGTTTGTCTTCATGTTAGACAGTGAGCTCCTTGAAGGGCGGAATTAAGATACGGTTTATTTGTATACTTCCTAGGTGGGGTTGCCAGGTTTAGCAAGAATACAAAGTGAAACAAAACAAAAATACTAAAAATTATTTTTTATCCAAAATTGAAACATAACTGAGTGTCCTGTATTTTGTCTGGCTGTCCTATTCTTCACATAAAGGTAATCTCAATAAATGCTGGGGAGTGAGCAAATGAATGAATGATGAGCATCATACCAACAAATGGAGAACTAAACTGGTAAAAATGTGGATTGACCATGTAAACGATACTCATCTAAGTTATGCCTACAAATCACAAAACATCAAACTGTTTCTGGTTAACATTCTACCTCTGAAAATCTGACAGCCTGGCTTTGACCTGAGATACAGTTTCTATCCATGCTTCGTTAGCCACTTTCATTCAGTGTCCACATGGGAAGAATACAAATCTTCTGTTAATATAGGTGTTTTGTGCCAACACTTTTATATCTCCATTCCACACATTTCTGGTTTTGTTTGTTTGCCTAATTGTTTATTAGTGTGTACCAGTTGTACAAGAAAATTGACCTTGGATGGCGCATGGTTTCAGTCATTCTGAAGCGCAATCATCTCTGTATCTTCCTTTAAAATTGCCAAAACTGTGCTTTTACTCCAGCCGAACCCTGGGGTTTTGGGTAAAGTCATTGACCTTGATTAAACCATCAGGACCAATTCTGTTTGGGGAAAAATATATATCTGGGGTTAGTTCATTTAACAATCCATCTTAAGAAAGACAAGATATTAATTCTCTCACTCCAAATGAATTCTGCTGTGGCTCCTGCCCTTATCGCCCTCTTTTTCTCTGACCTCTTGCCATACTTCTCCTCCTCCTCCACTGCTACCCTGACTTGTCAAACCTGAGCTTGAGCCAGAGTCATCTGGGGGGCTTGCTAAGACACAGATGCCTGGGCCCTGCCCCTGAGTCTGTGACGGGGTGTTTTCAGGCAGCAGCCTGAGAAGAAGCATTTCCAACTCTTCACCAGAATCACTGTCCTATGCCATTCTTCCCTGCCTTTCCCCTTTGCTTTCAGGTCCTTATTTCTTGTTCTTTACATTTCTCTGTTCGAGGGCAGTGTAATGTAGTAACTTCACTCACTACATTATCTTCACTACATATATCTCCGCCTGCTGTGTTTGCTTTATTTTGTATTCTTTCCCCTCCGATGTGGAACAGTTTACTTACACTTCCTGTTCAATGTAGTTCAGCATTCGGCTGACATGTGAGGCAGAGATCTCCCCATCCACTTCGGCAATATATGTGTAGAGAAACTGGAAGGTGCTAAATGGGATCCGAGGAGGTCCACTGTCATGGTCAGATGATAACACTTCGCACACTATCTTGAGAGTTTTGGCAATGGTCTATAAAGCCATAAGATAAAATGAGGAAGAAAGTCACTATTCCAAACGAAATTAAATTCCTAAGATCAGTTTAGACACCAGAAAGAAAACAAAAATATTGCTCTCATAAAATGAAATGGGAATGATGTAATACTCTGAAAAGCTTGAAATGTTTTACCCCCAAATGTCATTTAATTCGATCTAAAAACTATTGATGTTCTGGGTGTCTTTCTTTTTTTCCTTTCCCTTCTTTGTTGGAGGGATACTCTCAAGGAACTAAGTTTATAAGCTGCTCGATACTTTATGATATTTATTACTTTAATCAGAATAATGTCACAATTTTTATGTTGTAAAAAATTAAAATTATTTCTTATTCTTATTGCTCTCCAATGTTACCTCTACAGAGCTATGGTAATTAGTCTAGTTTATATACTCCAGCGGTCCGTGGAAGAATGCCACAGTAGGGGCAAGGAGGGAGGAAAAGGTGAGTGCCTGGGAAGATAGGAGTCCCAGATATAGGAAAAGTGACCCTGAACATTAAAACCCCTTCTTTTAAAACATGTAGACCCATCTAATCAGAACACCCACTCTTTTTTAAGAGAGAGTGAGAATGTGTGTGCACACACAAGCAGGGTAGGGACAGAGGGAGAGGAAGGACAAGAATCCCAAGCAGGCTCCACACTCAGCACGATGCCTGACACAGGGCTCGATCCCACAACCCTGGGGTCATGACCCGAGCTATAATCAAGAGTCAGGCACTTAACTGACTGAGCCACCCAGGTGCCCCCAAACACCTAGTATTTTATATGACATAACAATCATCCTGTTGTTGCTGGGGAAAAATTAAGTAGATGATGGATTTCAGAAGGTTTATGGTATAGAAGCAAACACTCCTTACAATGAAACTTGAAGATTTTAAAAAATCATGTTCAGAACTGAGGTTTTTTACTCACCTGTGTCTTTAAATAAACCTACTCTTTATATAAATTTCACAAGTGAAAAAGTTGGAAAATTATGGGATAAAGGAAAGAAGCGATTCAAAGAAAGGGTTGTTTAGTTCTGAATTAGCGAACATAGGTCAGCACATATATCTTGGTGGTTTATCCAAACAGATGACGTGCAGATTATCCTTAAACACCTTTTAAGGGAGTTTGTGGATCAGTGAAAAATGAGTCCGGAGTGCTGAACTGGGTATGCCCGGGTGAAGCAAAAGACAGCTGTAACTATCTCCCCAAAGGCTGCCCAGCACTGTTCTTCCTTTGCAATTGCTGTTAGCTGTTCTGTTCCATTCCTCCCCATGATATAATGGAAGCCTCTCTAATGCTTCTTTAACTGGTGTGTGTTACCGAAGGGTGTAAGTGGGTATGTTAGAAGGTAAATAAGGATGCTCAATAAACTTGGCCATCTTCCTAAAAGGGACAGTTTTACATGATAAGTGATTTAAACTTTTTTGCATTAATTATTAATTTTGATTGATTTAATATTTACATTTTGTTTCTCTGCATTTATAAACATTGATATTTTATGAAATAGAATCATCATACACCGAATCTTAGAATGATAAACCACATTATGTCAAAGAAATGTTGGGTTTGCAGACCTCAGGAGTCCTCACCTGGAAACCCTGTGAAGCGCTGTATGTGGCCGAGTGCCAGGCACTTCCAGGAAGGAGGCTGAGAGGCAGGCAGACAAAAGGCTGGGTAAGAGGCTGTCAGTGAGATGGAGGGGCACGTGTGTGACATAAGGTCAGCAGGACACGGTCTTGAGGTAGATGTGCAAGCATGTGTGCAACGAACTCCATGTTCTCCATTCAGAGCTCATTCTCTCTCCCTCTTAAAACAATCCTTTATTGCCTTTGTTCTGCTGTTCTCTTTCTGCAGGCTCATCCAGGTGGGGATGCTGTTAAGGGCTGAACTGTGTTCACCCAAAATTCATATGTTGAAGCCCTAACCCCAGGACCTCAGAATGTGACTATATTTGGAGATAGGGCCTTTGAAGAGGTGATTAAGTGAAAATTAAGTCATTAGAGCGGGTCCTACCCCAATAGTACTGCTGTCCTTATAAGAAGGGATTAGGACACAAAGACATCAGACATGCATACCCAGAGGGACAGCTGTGTGAAGAAACAGGGAGGCAAGGGCCATTTACAAGCCAAGGGGAGTGGCCTCAGACACCTTGATCTCAGACCTCTAGCCTCCAGGGCTGTGAGACAATAAATTCCTGGTGTTTAAGCCCAGTCCCTAGTATGAGGTACTTTGTTCTGGCAGCTCTACAAGCTAATGCAGGTGCTTTCTACTCTAACCAGCATATTTTTCTGATCACTCAAACACAAACCTTTAAGTTCTATGTCCTTATAAGGTTTATTACATGGATGAATGGGTAAAGAATTCTCTGGACAAGGGGCACCTGGGTGGCTCAGTCAGTTAAGTGTCTGACTTCGGCTCAGGTCATGATCTCACAGTCCGTGGGTTCTGGGTCTCCCTCTCTCTGCCCCTCCCCTGCTCGCTCTCTGTCTCTGTCTCTCAAAATAAAATAAAGACATTTAAAAATTTTTTTTAAAATAAAGAATTCTCTGGACAAGAGCTTTTTGGAAAACAAATAAATCTAACATAAACAAGGATCTGCATTCTGTTGCACAAGAGTTTTTGGTCAGGTGGGGATATACTTCATAAAAAGAGAGCTTTTAAGCATCTTCTGAGACTCATTTCCAAACCCAGAGGTGAAACACTCAGAAAGTGAATCATTTGCTAACAAAATATGTCCTTTCTTCCAATGAACACAATTACACAATCTTCCTTTTCTATAATCAGTCCCAGTAGAACAGGAGGTAATATATGCTAGTCTGACAGAGGGAGTGCGGAGAGAGAAGAGGAATACAAGTCTGTGTGCCACAGTCTTTTGAATCATGAGTGTAGACCCAGAGAGCTCAAGAAAGTACCTGCTATCTAAAATTCCTGCCAATTCCATGTGTAGCAACATGGATGGTACTTGAGGGTGTTATGCTGAGCGAAATAAGTCAAACAGAGAAGGACAGATACCATATGTTTGCACATATAGGTGGATTAGGAGGAAGCTAACAGAGAACCATAAGGGAGAAGAAGGGGAAAAATAGTGGGGGAAAGGGAGGGAGGCAAACCATGAGAGACTCTTGAATGCCGAGAACAAACTGAGGGCAGATGGGGTGGAGGGGTGGGGCGGGAGGTGATGGGCATGGAGGAGGGCACTTGTGAGGATGAGCACTGGGTGTTATATGGAAACCAACTCAACAATAAACTATTAAAATAAAAATAAAAATAAAATGCCTGCCAATGGACTGTATGGAGGAAGTGGTTTTTCTAAATGGCACCGAGGTCATGGCTGGCTGGTGAATTGACAAAGGAAGGAGGAAATTCCTGGGTTTGCCTCTAAGGCTTTGTGACTTAACTAGAATCCAAAGCCTCCACCAGATGGATGGCTCATACCTCCACTTTTAAGTTCCTAGCTATAGTCCAGCATGAAAAAATGGGTAAAATAAGCCTATTCCTGGATTAACAGGGCACCTTTTTATTTACAGATTAGCCCTTTAGGCTGACTTCACCTCTAGGTGTTCTATGATCTTGGGATGAGGAGAGGCACAGTCAGATACCTCAGCACCTCTCAGTATTGAAGGAACCCCTGTTATCCAAAACCAGGCCTGAGGGTATCTCAGTGGAAGCAGAGAAGGGGGAATAGAACCACAGAACATTAGAGATGAAAGAACTTCATGGAACATCTAATTCAAGCCCCTCATTTTAGAAGGAGGTAGAAAGATACAATTCATCTCATGATTTCCCCTCCCCAGTTTGGGAGGCAGACATATGAAAGTAAACCTAAGCAGCTACACTGAAAGCTAAGCAGAGGGAGGAATGGAATTTAGCTTTCCATACTTACTCTTGGTTACTGTGAGGTATGTGGACAAGGAAAGGACTCGCACACCTCATAAGGTGGTGAGGGGCTATGAAGTAGACCACTGGAGCCAGGGAGCAGACAGAGCAACGTGAAAGTGGCTCAGAGAGGCCCTCAGCACCAGCGAGAATGGCAATGGGCCCAGAAGGGAGGGGCACTGTGCTGTGAGAGAGAAGAGGCTGAGGACTCAGGCTGCAAGCAGCCAGGACCACAGAAACAGTATTTATTCCCATGAATTTCCAAGGACCAAGGGATGTGAGAACCCCTTTCTTTAGTGGTTTGCAGTTCTGAAGTCAACCTTTCCCTATTACACACTCCGCTGTCATCTTAAAGAGTGAAGTAGTGTGGAGAAATCTGAGAGACTGGGCATTTACCTCAAAGCTGTTTCAGTTACTGCATCAGACTAAAACTTCTGCATTGGGTCGAGTCTACTTATTTTCTTACTCAATCCTTTGTGGGTAGGGTACGTCAGGAAGATCAGAATTAACTATAGTCTCTGGGTGGCTCAGTCAGTTAAGCAGCCAACTCTTGATTTTAGCTCAGGTCATGATCTCTTGGTTCATGAGATGGAGTCCTGCATGAGACTCTGCGGTGACAGTATGGGGCCTGCTTGGGATTCTCTCTCTGCCCCTCCCCCTGCTCTCTCTCTCTCTCTCTCAAAATAAATAAATAAACATTAAAAAAAGAATGAACAGATAAAGTATGTTCCCCTCTCCCCACCCCAAACATTTCTGCATGTACTGAGAATACATTTGTGACCCTATGAGAATTTACTAAAATGTGTCCATTTTTAATGTTCTCTTCTGGATTTCCCCCAATCTTTGGGGGCTAATTCCACAGAAGTGTGATTGTGATGACAGGCAGAACATCTACTCTGGCTGCATTTTCCTCTCCTCTTTGGAGGAGAGCAATTTATTTATTATATAATGTTACTATACAGGAGAATAAGACAAAAAAAAACCACGAATGGCCTCTCCTCGCCTTGTCTCTAAAGAACTGATTATAATGAAAGTTGCAGGGGAAACCCATGGGAGAAGTTGAAACTTTTCTCAGAAACGAAAGTGTCAGATACATATTCCAAACATATTCAAGAACAAAGAATAAGATGGTGTTTAGATTTGTTGACTGATTCGAACTACCTCTGTGTACTATTTGGCTTTGGCGGAGGCAATAATTTTATCAATAACATTCAATCTTGCATGTATTCCAGGGATTATTAAAAACTGTTTCTGATTAATTAAATTTTTTAAATTTTTAAACATTTATTCATTCTTGAGAGACAGAGTGTGAGTGGGGGAGGGGCAGAGAGAGACACACACACACAGAGAATCTGAAGCAGGCTCCAGGTTCTGAGCTGTTAGCACAGAGCCCGACGCAGGGCTCAAACTCACAAAGTGTGAGATCATGACCTGAGCCAAAGTCAGATGCTTAACTGACCAAGCCACCCAGGCATCCCCTGATTCATTTTCATTTAAGCTATTATAACAGTGTTTAACAAGAGTGAGTCCATATGTAAGATGATACCTAAATATATATATACATCTGTATATATGTGAGCCATATATATATATGAACCATATATATGGTGCAGTATACTGGGTGCAGTATCTTTTTCTTTAAAACAGAAACATTGCTTTTCTGATTGTAAATCAAGTCAAATTTGGAAGAGGCATGAATTTGTATGAGCATTCTGCATCCATGATGATGTCATGACTATAGATCTGGAAATAGCTTCATATCTCCTTTCCTGCTCTCTCATCTTTGATTTTTATATACAGTTAAGCTTATCAAATAGTAGTTTTTTTTATAAGGCTGTACCTCTTTTTTAAAGGATCTATTGGTATATCTTCTAGGTATCTGGAACCCGAGTAGAAGCAAATCTACAGCTGGCTCTTGGTTATCTTTAGGATATGAGTGGAGTGGTGATGGAAATAAATCCAAGTGCAATGACTGAAATTCATAAATAATTCCAAAAGCCACATTCTAGTAACCTCTCCCCAGGGTCTGATGACAGTTTTCCCCTCTCTCCTCCTTGCCCCTGCTTCTGGCTGATGAGTAGAGGCAAGACTTAACTCAGAGAGGAGAAATAGACAAGAGAGGCATGCTCTTCCTCAGCCCAGGAGACGGACCTTGTGTGCAGAGGCCCTGCTCTTCCAGGCCCAGACAGAGCCTTTCCCATAAGGAACAAAAGGCAGTAAAGCTCACTTACAACTCCAAGAGAACTGCAAGCAAGAGCTAAAAACTTCAGCCACTCAATCTCCTCCGTGAAGCGACCCACGTTCATCACACTGTTAAACAGATCTGTTGGGAGACTCAGCACTTTCCACATCTGGGCCAGCTCATCTGCATGGATTATCAGTCTGCCAGCAACCTGCAGGCCAGGGCACGGACACAAGACAGAGAGTGAGGGACAGGATGAGAGGATGCCCCGAGGGACAATGGGCAGCAATGCCCGTGTTCTCCCAGCACACAACAAAGGGTTTGGTAGTGGGTGGTGGTCAGGGGAGAACTCAGGCAGTTCTCTGTGCAGGGTAGAGAAATGTTCAGTGTAGTGGAAAGTATGCTGAGGCATAATTCAATCATTTTAACTCTAGATGTGAAAATCATAGGGAAATAATACACTCATATTACATTTTCATTTTTTCTGATGCTTTTATTGTTGCTGTTTTATCCCTAGTTTGTCCCTATAAGGCAGATAGGACAGGCTGAAAATGAAACCAAGGGGCAGAGGACTTGTCTGAGACCACTGATCAGCAGTGAAATAAAACCTAGATGTTAAGTCTCTTGCTCCTAGGTTCTATGGACTTCTTTGCACTAGACTTCACATGCAACACGCATGCTTTCCCAATAACATGGGGTCTGGGTCTGGATGCCTAATATTACTTGGTCTCAGGTATGTCAGATCTCTGCCACATCTGTTGCATAAGGCACTTGGTGGTAAAGAGGAGGAAGGGAACAAATGGCCAGTTGTTGGCCAACGATGTAATACGGCTACAGAGGCCCCAATGAAGCACTACTGCACCTTCCCTGGCCCTCTGATTCTAGTGAAATGCTAAGCCTCTGGGAGAAAGATAGCTGGCTGTCAGTCCTGAATCACCACAATCCTCTGTCCTGGGTTTTAAAGCAGAGCTTGGTGGTGCTAAACGTTATTTCCTGGGTACCAGCCAAGCTGCAGCTTTGTCAAGTCAGACCTTCCTCATCCATTCACCGGGAAGTTCCCAGAATTATGAGGCTGTGAAGAAAGCCAGGGCTTTCCCCAAAAACTAGGTTATGTCTGCACCTGGGATAACTGAGGAACTCCTCTTCTCTCCACACTGTGATTGGCAACATATTATGATCTTGATCAGTAAGGCAGACATTGCCAAGGACTCTAGATCTTTCTTCCTCTGTGGTGAAGGGATCAGTATTGAATCGAGCCCCTGGACATTCTGACAGCTTCGGGGAAACCTGGGATGACTCCACTGATAACTCAGGTTTGAGTCTATTTCATTATCAATCCTATTTCTCCAAGAGAAGATTTACTTCCAAGGCATTATTTAGTGAATGTTATGATACTGAATGGCCAGCTGACTGGACAGAGGACGGTGAGCTTTCATTTGCACCCACCTGGGGTCAGCATGCCCACCCTTCCCCCTTGATGCTGTGGTGCAGCCCTTACCCGAGAATGCAAGATCTTTAACAGCTCAGGTGTAAGCTCTGCCCAATTAGACAAAGCCACTCGCTCAGACCGCTCTCTCACTGGAGGGATCTCTCCACGAGACATAGCCCCAAAATAACTGCAAGAAAAAAAAGTTAGGTGGGTGAGGAGGACATCCTATACGCCAGTGGCCTCTGGCTGCTTTGAGAATCCCCTCCTCCTTTTCTTGAGAGAAGGGGGTGGAGAAAGAACATTTGTTAGGGGCTTCTATACACCAGACACTTTGTTTTGTTCATTAATGTACAGGAAAAGCCTGAATGTGTTACTTTCCACTCAAGGTATGAAGAACACTTAGGGAGTAAAAAGGTTTGTTTCTCTCTAAGGATGAGGAATAATCAGTAAAAATTTTGGTATGGAATTCCCGGAAGCATATTGAGCCTGGGTTTTTTTCCCCAGTCATCCCTCCTAAGTGTTTTGCATACACACATGTGTGTGCACACACACATATACACACACACACACATATATAATAAGAGATATATATGTGTTCTATGTTATAGAACATATTGTATATGTGATATATAATACATATGCATATAATGTAATATAATATGTAACAGTAATTTGTTTCTCCTATATATAATATATATATTTTATATTATTATAGTACATTTATATTATTATAGTACATATAATTATATATGTAATATATTATATAATATAATTATATAATATGTACATACCCATATGTACAATGTACATAGACTATATGTATTATACACTATATGTATGTATATATACACTAAATGTATGTATTATACACTATATGTATGTGTATATATATATATATATGAGAGAGAGAAAAAGATCACTGTTATTTTAAATCCCCCTCTTTCTATGGAAGAAGAATCCTAGTACCTAGAGGACTGTCTTTCAAACATAAAATCTTTATTTTTAGTAAAATGGCTATTGACATACTTAAAGTTGATATTAGGTAGTGGGTAGGTATATGTGATCTTGGAAAAAAGTTGGAAGAGCACTGAAGTGACTTGTACAAGAAAGAGGAGGAGAGGAAGCTGCTCTAGGAGTGAGCCAGGAAAGGTTTCCAGCTGGAGGTGGTGAGGCTTGGGCTTTCAGGGGAAAGGGAGAAAAGGGCACTAAGGGAGGCTCAGGTGAGAAGACAAGCCGCAGAAGGGCCGAGACCATCTTATGTGGGATGTGTGAGGTAAAACTGTTCTCTACCTTCCCTCAAAAATTTCAATAAAATCTGCCTGGTCATAGAAGTTTTGTGGAGTAGACTTTGTTTTGGTGCAATGTGAAAAAAATGCTGAGTCCTGTTTCAAAATTGGCTTAAGCTAAAAAGGGCTGCCTGCAGCAGGGCAGGGACATAAGCACTTGACACATGGGTCACCAGTACTTGTCTGGAAGGGTCTGTCTCCTTCAAAACCTTATTTTTAACTATCCCTGGATCACATGCCTCTGCCTGTCTCTGCTTTAGTTTTCATGAATAAATATTTTTGCTATTTTTTTTTTCCAGATCCAGATAGTTCAAAAGAAGGCAGAGGGCATTTTGTAGAAGCCCATTTTAGGGTCAGGCCATACAGTGATGGGGATGAACTATTGCCTGTCCCTATGCCACAGATCAATGCAGAGCTAAAACTACAAGGACTAAACTAATACCTTCCACATCCCCTCGGAGGTCAGCAGCAGAGAGGGCAGAAGAAATGCTGTCTGGAGACCTGTTACAGTGCGTGTGAGCAAGTTCCATGGACAGATCAGTGTTGGGGTAGGTGTGGCTTCACAGTGACAACAGGAGTGGACTATAGAAACTTGGGTGGCATAAATGGGAGAGGCAGAAACATGGCATCTCATTTGACAGAAGTGACTGTGCAGATACAGTGACACTCGGCGGAAATGTCTTTAGACTTTCTAGCCAAGTTATGTGGAGAATGTGGAAATGAAGCTGTAGTCCCGGATTTAGTACCCTGTGGGTTATTTAGCTTCATTTGCAATGAACAATTGCAGGGTTATTCACCTATATGACCAATTTGTGTGGTCACACATACCACGAGACAAGTTTACGGCCTGCTGGTGTCTGGGAGGTGATTTCTTCACTGAGAGCACGTATGTGGGGAAATTCTTGCACAAAATTAAGACATATTTTGTCTTGGAAATACTTTGTGAGGTTTCTAAAGTGCCATGGGTTTGTAAGTCACACAAAACCATCTGATAAGTGCTTTTCAGGTCTGAATAGATGGAGAGTGCTCTCAGGTCCCGCTCTCCTTTTTCATTGCAGTTAAACTACAAACCGATTCTTCACGGATATTTAAAAAATTTATAGCACACGATACAAAATGGGAGCAAGCAGGCTACAACAGTGGAATGTTTTCTCCCATAAACGTCAGGGACAATCGCAAGAAATGTCATTTTCCTTGTTATAAAGCAGCAGCATCATAAAATGGGGTTTTAAACTCTTGTATGGTATAAAACGAAGTCTGTCTGAGTCCGCCAAAAGAAATTAGCCTTCTGATGCCAAAGTTCAGTCTGTGAGAGAATACATAAAATTTAGAATGGAAAACTAAACAGTGATCATTACTAGCAAAGCAACCCCATTATGTTCCTTTTTACGAGCACCACTGGCTTATTTTCCTTCCCTCTGTGAAAGCTTCGTCCTGACCCAAACCAGGAGCGGGAGTGCACCGACCCGGAGGCTGTGAGGCTGCGCTCTGATGACACTGTGCGCCTTCTCGAAGGCGCCCACACCTTCTCCCCACCTGCTCAGCACACCTCATGGCCACCGGCGAGGCTCAACAAGCCTCTCTGGCCGCCCTGTTCCCACTGAAACGCTGCTGAGGAGGTCACCAGTAAGCAGTAAAACTAGCCTGCAAATGGTTCAGGAGGTCTGGACCCAACTCCCAACCCCGGCCTCAAGCCCCCGGCCCCCGAGTTGCGAGCGGGCATGTTTGTCTAAGAAGCAATTTCATAGCCGAGAGGCTTTCTGCGCAGAGCTGTTTGAAGCGGGGCCAGCGGCGCGCGATCGCGGCGCGAGCTCCTGGCCGCCAGCAGCCGCCGGAGGTCGCTGGCGAAAGCGGGCACCTGAGCTACGGGCACATGGTTTCCCGCCGGGCCCGCGCTCCTCGGGCGCTCGGCACCCCGTTCGGCCTCCTTTCTCCATAGTGCAGTGTGCAGTGTGGACGTCTTCATGTTGAGGGAACAGATTAGCTCAAAGAACACTAAAGAAAATAATTGCCCCGAAGACAAGCTACTGAACGTCTGGTTGGGGCAGGAAGGGGGCGGGACGGCCGCGGAGGTAGGCGGTCAAGGCGGCGCAACCGCAGAGGTGAGGCAGCTGGGACCGAGCGCGCACCGCCCAGCCTGCGGCCGCGGCGCCTGGCTCGCCGAGGCGCGCTGCTGCTCTCTAGTGGTGAGACCGGAGACCCGGCCCGGGACGAGACCCGGCCTGCAGGCGCGGCTGCGGCGGGGCTCCCCGCGCCTGCGTCTTCTGGGACCGGGGAGGGGTGCAGACACCGCACCCGGGGCGTGTGCCTTCTTGCTGTGGGACCCTACTCCTGCTGTTCGCCGCAGGACCCTTGGCCGATTGCTCTGGAGTCCTTTTGTTCAGTCTGGGTCGCTTAGGGGAGGGCAACCCACCACGGCCCGGTGCGTTTTATTTCTCAGCGGATTTTAAAGCATCCAAGCATTTCGAGAGCTGAACATCCCAAAGCTTCTGCTAACCAGTCCTGATTCCCGGGCTGCAGCCGCGACGCCCTCCTCAGTTTTCCGGACGACCACCCCTCCTCCACGCCCCACCTCCACCTCCTCCGGGAACCTGGGGCTGAGTGAGAAGGGGTACGTACTCAGCCGCCCACTGGATGAGATCCTGCGGCTGCGTCCGAATGGCGGCTTTGGTGAATTGCTTCAGCAATTCCGGCAGCTCCGGGGGGATGCATATTTGCTTATCTGTCTGAGGCATTGACTGGATGACCTAATGGCAGGAGAAAGATAAATAAATTGGGAATCTTTGAATCATAAAATGACAGGAATCCTGGACCGGAGGTCACCCAGCTTCTGTTTGAATTCTCCATACTGGGGAGTTCATTACCCCACAAGGTATATGCATTCAACTGCTACACAACTCCAAAGTTAGAAAATGGGTTACAAGTCGCTGCTTTGTGTTCTTGTAAGTAATTATGTCCTCTACATAAAAACCACACAATACTTCTTCATTTGAAACGTAGAGATCAGCAAGAAGTGAGCAAAAATATCCCCTAACGATGTCATCCCAAAATATTGGTCATCTCCTTCCAGAATGTTTTCAATATAAATATATGTGTTTGTAGAAATAAAAAACGGGGCCATGTACAACAGCATATCATGAACATCTTCCATGTCACACACACACAACTCTTATGGCAGAATAAATTGTGGCAAAATTTATTCTGCGAATCCTCTATTATTTGATATTAGGTTATTTCCAAATAAAAATGAACATTAAACAGCCATCTGGTGAACATCTCTCCTTACATCCGCATATATTTATCTTTTCTAATTGTAAAAGAGAAAACTTGTACATTTCTTTCAAAAAGTTTCAGGACAAATTGAAACAAAACATAACAATCCATAGATGGTACACAAACAGCAGATTAAAAGGTTTTGTCTGCTGTTAGTAGTGAAAAAGACACAAGATAATCAAAAAGTGCCACATTGGGTGTCTGGCTGGCTCAGTTGGAGAAACTTGCCACTTATGACCTTGGGGCAGTGAGTTCACGCCCAATGTTGAGTGTAGAGATTACTTAAACTTAAAAAAAAAAACAAAACATAAAGCTCCCCCCATCTTCAGAACACATACATGTTAGACAAACCCCAGCCAACACAACACGGTTCAGACTGCCTTCTGAACATGGAAGAAAGCGAGGGATATCCTAAAGGGCCAAATAAAATGAGTAAAGCAGAAACCAAACCGGTAAGCAAATGAAGAAGGTAAGATGCAAATGTAGGTGCCCCAAACTTGAAACTTGCAGACAAATGACCAGGCAAGTTGCAAACAAATCCAGTCTTAGGCCCACAAAAAGTGAACTGAACTGAAGGACTCTCTTACCCTCACCCCACAAACCTGAAACAAAGTTGCACACACCCTCAGCGTAAACAGTGGAAATATCTGCCCGCTGGCAGGGGGAAACTGAGAATGTGTCTCCATCATTGCTTCTTGTTGGTGGCAAGATCGTCTCCCACCAGTTTGTTGCCATTAACTAGGTCTTAGCTGTTGATTTATACCACTGACCTCGTTGGGAAATCCCAAGACAAGAAACTAAAGTGGCCTCAGGTTAGTAGTAGTCCATTATCATTCACCGTATGTTCTTTTATTTGGAAGAGTACAAAGATTTGATTAAGTTTAGACTTTCTAAAAAGTCAAGTATGCATAGCAAAATTTCAAGAGTAATTACTATGAAAATAATATAAACACCAAACTTGTAGAAAGGAGAAAAGGAATTTAAAAGAATAGCAACAAAACATCTTAATCAACCCACAAGAAGGCAAGAAAAGAGTAAGGAAAGCATAGGAAAAAATGGATAAACAGCATGATAGAAAAGAATCCATATACAGTATACCCATAATCACAACAAAAAGAAATGGTCTTAAGTGTGGCCATTAAAATACAGAAATTATCAGACCAGATTTTTCAAAAATCCAACTTGAGGCACATCTGAAAAGACATAAGGACTCAGAACAACTGAAGGTGAACGGCTGTGGATAAATAGGCAAATAAAACCAAAAGAAAGATGATATAGACATGTGAATAACAGACAGGAAACTTAAAGGCAAAACGCATTATTAGGAATAAGGAGGGTCAGCTCAAAATGCTAAAAGCTTCAATTCATTGAGAAGATAGCATAGTTCTCAGTGAGCATGCTACAGATACCACCAGGGGTGAATGCTAGAGGGAAAGGAAATATATTGTTTAGGGTTACATGCATATTTCATAATATGGCCAGGGATGATAAACACAAATTCCAAATTTGAGTTTCCTCTATTGGGGAAGGAGAGGAATGTCATCAGGGAGATGCAACAGGGATACCACCACTATTAATGATGTTCTATATTTTAAGTTCAAAGGTATCTGTGTAGAGTTTTGTTCCATTAGCTTTATGCCTGTGTTTATGTTAGGCGTTTTACTTTCTATGTATGAAATATTTCATGATTTAAAAGTTACCACTACAAGTTGTTTATTTCTGATAACTTTTCAATCCATTTTATCTAGCAAAGGGCAGTGTCTTATTTTGCTCATATTGTCTGAATATATATTATATATATATACACACACACATATATATATAAACATAAAATTGTGGTTAAGCACACAGAACAAAATTTACCATTGTAACCATTTTTGAGTGTGTGGTTCAGAGGCATTAAATTCATTCACATTGTTGCACAACCATCACCACCAGCCATTTCCAGGACTTTTTCATCTTCCTAAACTTAAATTCTGTACTCATTACACAATAATTCTCCACTTCCCCCTCCCCTTAACATCTGGCAACCACCATCCTGCTTTCTCTCTTTATGAATTTGAATACTCTAGGTACTTCACATAAGTAGAATCATACAATATTTGTTCTTTTGTATCTGACTTATTTCACTTAGCATAATGTCCTCAAGGCTCATCCATGTTGTAGAGTATTAACATTCCAGTGTGTGTGTTCAACCTGTTGTTGAACATTTGGGTTGTCTTTGTCTTTTGGCTATTGTGAATAATGCTGCTATGGACTGGGTAAACAAACACCTGTTCAAGTCCCTCCTTTCAATTTTTTTGGGTATATACCCAGAAGTGGGATTGCTGGATCAGATGGAAATTCTATTTTTGACTTTCTGAGGCAGTGCCATACTGTTCCTTCAAAGAAACTGTACCTTTTGCCTATTCGTATATATTTTGACAGGATATTTTAGTTGTGCAATTGTTTGATTTCTATTCTAAAGGTTAAAATGGTGTCATATAAATGAAAAGATTGTCCAAATCTAATTAACCAGGCTTCTATGAGAACAGTGAGAATGATAACCCTTGGTCATTACAGAGCAAATTTAAGCAAAGCCTTTACCCCACTGCCTCTTCTAAGAACATTCTGAAATCTCTCTCCAGTTTTGGCCAATCTCTAGTACGTTCTCCATACCTGCACTCTTTTCTGAATGCTTACTCCTTTTTTAACCTCTTGCAATTCTTTCTGCTCTCACCACCCCATTTTTCCCTTAAAAGTCATCAATGACATCTATTAACTTCTGGTCTGTGCCAGATACTATGTTAAGCATTCTATATACATTTCCTCACTTAATCCTCAAAATATCCCTATAAGGTAGATTATATTATCACTATTCCACAGATGATGAAACTAAGGAAAAATAAAACCTCTGAAATGACATGTAGCTCTTAAGTGACAGAAGCAGGATTTGAACACACAGCCTGATGTAGGAGGTGCCTGTTAAACATGACTGTCCTTTCCTTCTTGAAGTTTCCCTTTGATGGCATATACCATTCTTGTTTTTTTCTTTTTCTCTGCACTCCTCCTCTGCCACTGTAACTTTTTTCCTTCCTCATGATAAACGAGTTTGCAATCTTCCCAAAACACAAGTCTTCAGCATTCTGAGCTCCTGTCTTTCTGTCACTCTTCTTGGAAAGCTCACATCTTCTCATGGCTCCATCTTGTTCGTCCATCCCTGAACTCTCACCTGTGCTTATGTTGCTCGCTTCCTACTGTCCCCAGGACATACCTCCATTAAAACTCACTCTCCATCTGCCAACTAAGTCCCCTTCCCAAATTTGTTTCTGAACATCATGCCCCAATTTTCTCTTGGCCTCCAAGCCCTGGGGCCATCCATTCTCTTCACTCTGTTGACTCTCACTAAATCCTATTGATATTTCCTTTGAAATATGTCTCCAAACCATCCCTTCCTCTCTATTTCTACTCCTTTTATTCTGGTTCAGCCCCTCACCACCTACTGTGCAGCTTCTAACTGGTATCTCTGTCTCAGGTCATTCCCTGGTCTATTCTGTGTGTCCAGTATGTTCTATATTCTATATTGTTCTATATTCTAGTCATAGAACATCTATATTCTATGCTGCTGTTAATAAGAGAGCCCTGCTCGCTATATGACAATCATATCCTGACTTTCAAGGTTCTCAGTGATTTATACACAATTTTAAACTAGAATTTTTCTGATACTGTTTACCAACACAAATTTCCAACATGTAGTCTACTCTGGCATATTTCCAAGATATTATATATGTGAAGCTTAGCACTTGTTCATCCATTGTTAATAGAAATCTATCTTGCTTTTCTATTTCCTGCAGTATTTTGCTAATTCTGGCTGGCTTACTTGAAGTGCTCTCTTCTTTTCCATCTGTTCAAACTCTACACACCCCTAAGTTTCATTTTGCGCCTACTATGCCATAAGCCTTCCTAGAACACTAAAGAATCATCAAGTAATATTGTAATACACATTTTATCATTTCATCCCCCTCTACCTTTTACAGATCTCTATAGCTGAGCTTTCCACAAGTGGCCACACCAGAACGGGTTACAGGTATCTCCAGGAGAGATTGATGGTTGTAAACTTTTTATAGTGACACAAAATTTACAACCATTTTACAACCATTCACCTACTTATAACAGTTGAAATTATATGTGGATCCTGTTTGGCTCAGTCAGTAAACTTCCATATTCCAGTAATTATTGTCTTTGTGCCTCAGGTTTTATGCAGAGCACCTGCCAGAGATGACGACTATACAGAGTTTTCCCTTTTAACCATCATGTTAGAACCATCTCCATAAGTCTGATGAATATGCTTAATTATAATGTATGTATTATTAGTGATAATCATTTGTACATACATTTCAAATACTTAGTTCTAACTTTGATTTAATTTGCTCTTAATTTTCACATTTTTCCCAATAAAGAAGGCACATATGCTTCATCATTATCATCATCACTT